CACAGACACAGTTTTCAGGTCGGTACGGTTGTGGAGCATCAACAGCTACCAAGTAATTCCTCCCAGCATGCTCATATCCATGACCCGCATAGTAGAAAAGGCCTGTTGAGAGTGATAAAATATACATTCAATTACAGCGGCAAGACCACAAAAAATGTAATCATCATATTTTCCACCTAACATGAAAAAGTTATCTGATTTCAGTACAGTATGATATGTTTGCTTCCGTCTTTATTTCGTTATTAGTAAGATAAAGTAGAGAATAGTAACACACAGTATCATTCTGACGAAGCAGTTCTCTTATCCTTATTTTGTTTGATCATAAACATACTTTCATATTACAGCTCTCATTTCATTACTGGGTGTACAGTTCCCCTTAACAATATGACTTGTGCAGCTGTATGCTTTAGTTATTAATAGCTCCCATTTTTCATACGATGAGGGGCCACCTTTCTTTTTTGTTTAACACCGTGGATGTGATACACAGAGAATATATTTGGCTGATTGTGAATGACCCTCTCTCAAAGTGCTTCAGGCATAGAGGAAGTGCCATATTTAGCATATGCTGTTACAAATGCCTATGGTTATTTTTAACCTTATCTGCTCATTCAACCACGAATACGTGTAAAGTAAGATATTGGTACTGTAAACCAAGCGTGACCCATGACGCATGGACAACAAAAGATAATAACCACAGAACAAACCAGAATAAGTTACAATGTTATATCTCAGATCCAACAAAACGGTTTTTTTTTTGTTGCAGAATTTGTCCAAGGACAGAAGGTTAAATCATGAAACAACAGAAATATGTAGCTAATTTAGAAACAATTTTATGTAGAGGCAAATTATAATCACCATAAACTCCTCTGTCAAGGAGCTGAATGAACTTTTCTATCGCGGCTAGCATCTCCTCTCTGGTGAGGTCCAGCAGGGAAACCACTCTGAAGCCAAGCTGCTGCAGGAGGTTGGCCAGCTGATGCACATCCATGATGGGGGCCATCAAGGCCGGGTGGTGGGAGTAATTCAGGTTGCCAATAAGGAGGGCAACTTTATCAGTGGCTGCAACAAAGATATAAGTTACATTCTAATTAAAGCAACGCAACCTAATACTCATACATACTGTGATTGTTTTCTATTAAAGCACACTAAAACTAGCGAGGGTTGACACCGAGTTTCTTTCGTTATGCGTACCTGTAGTTGCTGGAGTAGGAAGCAGATCCGTTTGCACTAAAGAAGTGTGAAAAAGAGAAGCACAAATCAGTTTCTTCAAACAAAAATCTGATCTTAAGTACTATCATTTTATCAAGAGTGTACACAAAGGGTATTTAAAAAAAGAATTGGACGATATTTTGTGATCCATACTCTACACGCCACAACATAAGTCACAAACAGGAAAAACACTGCAAGAGCTAGTTTCACTTTACACCTCTTTCCTGTTGTGTGTCTAAGGCTCGGATTATGCACTATTTTAAGTCCTACTTCCTTTTTTGTCTGTAGAAATGGGAAAGTACCTGCTGCATAATGGAAATAACTTCTAAGTACTAAATTAATGGAATGGAAGGAATGTTTTCTTCACAGCCTTTTCATGAGAACTGGAGGAAGTAAAGTACTTTGCTAAAAGACTTTAAACTGTGCATAAAAGTTATGACTTACCAATGCCAACATCCACTGGTTCAGTCCATGTCTCTTGTAGTATGTTAGATATGCAGCACAAGTATGATCCTTCATGTTCGGCTGTTGCATTGTCAATCTGCAGGTATTACAAAAGATTATATTTCTGTCATTGTTTGTCTTTGGCAAACATGTCACCAAAGTGCAGTGATTCATACCCAGTGAAATGAACCAGTAAATACAGAACAGTGTAAACAATCACTGTCAGCACTGAGCTAAGTAAACACTCCGTTCTTACCTGTAGCATGCCAGTAGTCTTATCCTGCAGCGGCTGTCCATTTCTGTACCACTGATAGTGTGGAGTGGGGATGCCAAAGGCAGCGCAGTGGAGAGTGAGTTTTTTACCTTGTCGGACTGTCTGGGGTTTAGGGCTCTCAGCGATGTGTGGCTCGCCTTGCCAGTGAATGGGCAACCCTGATAGAATAAGATAAAAGCAATATGCTTAAAACCTATTTACTGCCAACACCCAAGGGCTATGTTGAAGTATGCAAAATAACGGAAAAAGCACTACACTACTACAATATAAATTAACATAACAATGGCACAATGCATACCTGATTTATCAATGTCCAACGCCTTCACTTTCACCCAGTCGCTGAACACGCAGTTACAGAAGTTGTCACTCACTCGGCAGATGTAGAGCTGAGATTTTTTAGCTTGTATGGTCAAGTCTTCCTTATTGCCCGCAAACACCTGGAAGTGAAAAGGGAAATTATCATTGTATTATAATTATCAGTACAATAATGTGTTCATCACTTTAATGTTGCAGCTGATAAAGGTGGAGCTTATCATTTTACTGTAAAACAGCTGAGTAGCTAGTGAATTTAACTTATAATAATACAACTATTTGTTGATTATATCTTGTATTATAAATCAGAATCTCAAAATTGCCTAAAGTTATCAAATAAGTTAAGCCTACTGGTGTAAAAAGTTTAAAATGTATAAGAAGCATAAAGTGGTATCTTTGGAAGTTTTTCCTTGTCCGTTGTGAGGGTCCAAGGACAAAGGGTGTCGTGTTCATATTCTGTATAAACTGAATAGTCGACTGAGACACACATGTGTGATATTGGGCTATATGAATACACCTTGATTGATTGATTGATGGTATAACAAAAATAAATACTCCATACACACAGATATTATTTGCACATTACATTTACAGTAACAAACGCTATTTAACACGCTTGAGTATGGTTGTAAAACCTTAAAAGGAACGTTTTCATAACCCATACACACAAGCACAGATGAAGAAGACTACGTACCTCTTCATCATCTTCAGTGAACCACTGGTAGTGCAGGATTCCTTTGCCCTCAGCACGGACTCTTAGGGTCACCTTATGGTCCGCAGGTACACACACAGAGAAAGGGTGCCGCACTATGAACAGTTCTGTAACAAATCAAGGGAAAATCTCATTAACATGAAATCCAACTGTGTTGTCTCTATTATTTTAAAAAAGTCACACCATTTCTGTGGTAAAAACACAACATACCGCTGATCATTATTCGACGGGATTTGGTACGGGATCCAGTCATCAGTGCATTTTCTTCTTCTTATAGCAGACTGTAGGAAGTTGAGTCACAGTTTAAATTGAGTTAGTTAATCCCTTAAGTAGCCTATACCGCTCCCAGATCGAAAAACGACGAAATGACAAGAATATAAGGAAACGGCTTTAAAAGAGAAGTTATAGGGGCATTAAAAGTCTAGCATCAGCCCATTACTTCTCTTTTCTATCGCAATTAGCAACACCGTATCAGATAGAAATGTCCATAATCAACCAATAAGGATGTAAGTGTAGCTATACCTGCTGTAGCCATGTACCAGTGGGTCAGCTGTCAGTAAGTGTATGTTTTCCTGCTGTGAAACTTCATAACTTCACTTACAGCTAAAAAATAACTTCCCTTTACCGGAACGAGACAGCATGCACACATATTACCAAAAAGCCTATAATACCGGCGCATCTCAAAGAACATGACATGTCTGTCACCTTTGTTTTACTGACAACATGGGGATTTATTTTAATTTGAAAATGAATATGTGCTTTTAGTTGAAAATGTTTGAAGCAGACGAACTCTACGCCGGTTAAATCGATGGGAATCATTTCAGGGGATATGCATGTGGAGACACTTTTACAGACATTACGGTAACAAGAAATCTGGCCCCTTTTCAGGTGTTGTAAAATGACAGAGATTGAGTTTAGGGACATACTGGACACTCACAATGTTTTTCACTGAGATAGAGAAAATATGGACTGATCTTTACCATTTTTTAAAGCATCTAAATGAAATATATTCAAATAGTATGCCAACTAATGTTTGTACATTTATTGTAGTTTTTGGGAGGTGTATGGCACAGTGGATAAAGCCTTGGTGTTGGGTTCAAGGGGTCACAGGTTCAAACCCCACTGCAGTCAGCATGTCGTTGTGTCCCTGGGCAAGACACTTCATCCCAAATGGCTCCTGTGGGTGTTGTCCACAGTATTGAGTATGTATGTATGTTGCTTTGGATAAAAGCATCTAACAAGTGATATGTAATATAATGATTTACTATATTCTGTATAATATTATGATAAGCATCTCCTTTACAACTATTGTATTTGGCCTTTTCACATAAGTCTGTTAGGTTTAAATATATGTAATAATTATGTTTGCCTACTTGAGTTATTTTTAGTTTGTTAAAGCATTTGTATTTCCTTTTATCAGGAACATCTTAAATCTCGTTTTCAAGTGTGTCTTGGCCAAGATAGAATAGTGAGTTGAAAAACAATATTAGATACAAATATAATTATACAATTATAAATACAATTTGCATCCAATTGTATAATAGGTTTCATCAATAACAAATTCAATATTAAGTAAAACAACTCAAAATATGTCTAAAACAATAAAAACACTGCAACTAACACATCAAATAGCTATACGTTGTTAAATACAATTATGTAATTTGTCAGCTGACCCTGTTTTTCTCAAATTGATGTGAAACATGAGCAGCAGGTCTCCATGTTTTGACCATGTGTTGCAATACAAGGTGAGGGGTGCTGTCCTTATGCAACTCTTGGGCAAAGCAGGACATAGAGCATTTGTTTTCACAAGCTACCAACACAGACATGTTTTGTAAGTCCACATCCACTGCAGTGTCTCAAGATGGGACACCCTTTTTCCAACCTAATTTGATTAATCAAAACAAAGCAGGGACAATTTATTGTACAACCCTTGTTGATATAACATTTTGGGGTATTTGCTCTGGTCTAAATGGTTAGCTTTTACTTTAATTTCAGTTAGGTTTTTAGACTTCTGTCTATAGTCTAGTTTTGGAAAAACGTATGTGCTCTTGCAACTATTTGTAGGGCTGCTATAAATAGGGCCCTGCTGGCAACACATGCGTCTATGATAGGCAGTTACAGAGACTTTCTTCACAGACTGTGGCTCCAAAGCAACATTGACAACATCTAATGGTAAGTTGGATATTTTACCTAGTTTTGGGGTGACTAAGAAACACCTGAATTGTATTCCTAACACGTACAAGTCAATAGCATGTCTTTGGTTTGTGATTGACCACTTACAGCCCTTCCACAGTCTGATAGCCGGTCCTATTTATAACTTGCTCCAATGCAGTACTTTGCTTGGTCAGAAAGGACAGGCATTGAGTCTGAACAGTGTGTTTGATGAGCAAATGAGCCTCATACTATATTTCATTAACTTCCAAGAGATTCTGGTACCATTCTGAACAGTTTATTTTTATTCTTCTCCAGGGGCTTCTACATGGATAACACCATTACATTTGTGCCTTGAACACAGACAAAACTTGGACGTGAACGCAGATCAGTTCTGTGGTACTGTGGGTGATACATTTCCCTCGGATTTTGCACTTTTGCTTCAGTGGACGATGACTTCCAGAAGACCAATGGCCCGCTCTGTCTCTGGCAATGGGAGGACAAGCAGCTTCAGTGAAGAGGAGGGCAGTTCTTCCAATGGCCGCTCGGAAAGCCGCAATCCTTACCTCTCGAACGTTAGGCCTGAAAACAGGTAGACAGCCTCATCTATAATCTATATTTATGTAGAGGATGTTTTGTCTAAATGATCAAATAAATGATATGTGTTTCTGTTTTAAATCCATGAGAATAGAAGTGCTCCTTTTGTTAAAGAAGATGGCCATTATTAAACTATTTCATGTAGGTGGGTTATACACAGAACTCAAGCACTGACATCCCTTCATTTGCCTTCTCTCTAAATAGCTATTCAAGGTATTCTCACTACAGGTCACCGAGGTAATCCATACTTTAAAAAACATTCCTCCCAACTAACATCTTAACCACAAAAAACGGTTTACCCCAAGAATGAAACCTACACACGTTTGAACTGTAATGTAAGTGTCCGGTTTGTCCAGTGTTGCGTTGATAAACATCGTTCTAAATGTTGGATTGACAACCAATGTTTGCTTGACCTCTCACAAGTCTTTGTCACTCCTTTACATTCTCGTCACTACCAGAAATCTCCATTAATATCCTTTTTTCCCTAATTAAGCAAGTTATTGGAATGTACTGTACAGAGGTGAAGACGTCCCTGTTATAATGCTGAAGTGTCAAACTGTCTATGATTTAAAAGCAATACATTGACTCTCTAATGCATTAGTGTTTGCTTCCAGGAGCACTTTGTGCAGCGTCATGGCTCAATTGACCGAGGACATACAGCCGTCCTTTGAGTCCACCTTGAAATCGAAGGCAGTTTCAGAAAACTGCAATGTGAAGTTTTCCTGTGTGGTATCAGGTACGTGTGTGTTCACTTGCATGGCTTAGTGTGGGATTTGTTGGAGTAACGGAAACATTTCTGTATGTTCACTAAGAAAGGGTTTACTGTTGATTGCAGCAAATAACTGTTTTATTCATCCTGAACGGCTCTTTAAACACAACAGCCAATATCATGTTCGAGCTTTTTTTTCCGGATGTTGTGTTTTTAGCTTCAGGCAGATACTGTAGGATGGATGGGCCTGTATAACAGCAGCAGCTGTTCCTGCATTTGACACATCATAAACATGATTCATAGCCTAAAAACATGTTCGTGCCAAAGCTTCTATACTGTATGTTTACTACCCATGTCTTTAGGTTACCCAGCTCCAGAACTGAAATGGTATAAGGATGATATGGAAATGGACCGGTACTGTGGACTCCCAAAATATGAAATTCATCGTAATGGAAAAACCCACACCCTCCATATTTACAAGTATGTAACGTAACCTTGTAAATTATTAGAAATTCAGCTTCTCATTTGTTTACTTCTTTGTTTAATTGTTACATAGTTGGCTTACCTATACTATGAGATTGATAAATGTGTCTGTTTTCAGAAGCACATTGGATGATGCAGCCATCTATCAGGTTTCAGCTAGCAATAGCAAAGGTATTGTCTCCTGCTCGGGAGTTTTGGAGGTCGGCATCATGAATGAGTACAAGATCCACCAGAGGTTCTTTGACAAGCTGAAGCAGAAAGCAGAAAGGAAGAAGAGCGAACTAGAGGGAAACACTAAGAAGGGGGGTAAAGAAAACGTTGAGAAAGAGAGACCGCAAATTAGCCCCGAGCGTCCTCCAAGGAAGAGGCATGTCCCCCCACTGGAGAGGAGGCCGGCGGTCAAGGAGCCTGAGGCTGAGGAACAACTGGGAGCTGCTGCAGAACCTAATGGACCTGTGGCATCCCAAGTCCTGGAGAAGAAGATATCTCCACCTGAGGAAACCTTGGCCAAAAAGAAAATAAAGATCACAAATGGTGTAGACGCTGAGGTCAGCAAAAGCAGCTGCAGCAGAACCACCAATATGATGGGTATTGGAGGAGAAAACTGTTATGATGGAGGAATTGGTTTGGCACAATTCCTGTCAGACACTCTCCAGGCCTCAGAGGAGAAACAGAACTCATCCAAAGGGGAAACCCCTGAAGAGATGGATATACCTATTGTAAGTGTCAGTAAAGAGAGGGAGCAAGAGATGATGCAAACATTGAGGGAAAAACAAGAAAAAGAGGAAGATTATGTAAGGGAGAATAATAGAGCGGCGGAACTGGCCACAGAGAGGGACAAAGAAAGGGAAAGACTGTTCGAGATGTCGCATACACTACCAAACACAAAACATGGTTCACATGCCAGACATCACAACAAGGCTCATAAGGATCAGGACCATCACAACATACAGGCTTCCTTAACCTCTGTTCTTCACTCAGTCAAAGATTTCTTCTTTGGTAAGATCAAAAAGGACTCTCATGATCACATTGAGAACAAGGAAGGGGAGCTCAACCCTTCTCCTGTTTCAACGCCACCATCATTTCGGCTGCAAACAGAGCAGAACCAAGTGGGCAAGTCTCTCCAAGAGGACGTTGTGCCTATGGAAATGGATCAACCAAAGAAGCCTTCTAAATCTGTGGATATAGAACAACAGTCAGCGTCACTGAAGCCATATGAACATAAGCATGAAGACAGTGTCCAACACACAGTCCATCCACCAGAACATAAGATACCACCTGAGAGCATAGACCAGCCCAGGGGGGAGAGTGTGAACGCAGAGGACAGTCCTGTGGAGGTCATGGAGGTGTCTGTGGGGCCAGAGATCATTGGTCCAGGTGGAGAAATGTCATTATCGAGGCTTCAAGTTCTCACTGAGGTACGTACAGAGGTCTTGGAGGCCAGCTGGCTGCCACTTGAGTGTTATTTATAGGCTGCATTTGTGTGACAAGATAAAACAAGATGAGCTACTTCAGGGCTGAACCCTGAACTATGTCAACTATGACACAGTTTAGGATTTGAGCTGCTGCTAGTTGAAAATGTGGTTGATAAGAAGCATATGATGACTTATTGTTATGTTATATTCGTGGGTAAGTGTGAGACAGTCAGGAAATGCAGCTGCTATAAATCATGTGGTTGAACATCATCAGTGTTCAACCACAGGGGGAGTGAGTCGTACTGTGAGGCTGTGGTTTTACTGCATCTATATCAGTCAAGAGTGACAAGCCCAACAAGATAGTGTGTGAGAAATAGGGAACTAAGAACCGAGCAACTTGCACTGGATATGTTTGTGGGTGGGGGATGTTGTGGATTTACATTGCACACTGTAAAATAGGATGGCGAATATCTTAATCTGTTGGCTGCAATGAGTGGGACAGGAGTGCGTCAGAGATCATGATGAAACTGAATGTCAGAAGGGGTTCTCACGTTTCAAACAGGCCTTTGCATGACAGAGGGTCTGGCTGAGCGGGAGCCGAGCGGCAGGTCTCTGCATGAAAGAAGGACCTCGTCACATTGGACACATTCCTCACCGCCGCCCCGTAGCTTAAAAATAAACCTCTTCCTCGTCTACAGAAGAGGCAGGAAGGCAGCACTTCTGTCATCTCGGGGGTCAGCTTAAATAATTGTTTCATGAATGTCATGTGTGACGGTCATGCTATGATTAACACCCATACAGTAAGAATACTGAATGGGGTACTTTCCACTTTTGCATTACATTGATCTAGCTCAGTTTGATCTTAATCTGCTAATACATTACCAGATCTTCCCAGATTTTAAACAAAGATATGCAAAAAAAGCTTCTCAGATTTTACCTGAAACTATTAGAGGACCTTTTGAACAATCTCTGTTGATCCTAGAGGGACACTAGCTTTTGAAAAGCAGTTGCCAACATACAATAGCTTTTGTTGTACATACATGATAAATCACTCAAATGTATTACATTTTCCTTATTGCAGAATAAGAAAGTTATGAAGACATTTGTTATTACGATAATTTATAAATGTTCATTTGGTTATTTGAATCCATCAAATCAAAAACGTTCCTTAAAGTTAGATTTTTGTATTACTGATGTTTGTATGTAAAGGTATTCAGAGAGAGTTAACCTACAGTATTGCTTTGTACCGTGAACCAGCAGATGAATGGAATAGGCCATTCACATAAAATGTTGTCGTGCACAATGACATGTGGAAGAGGAAACAGAAGTCTATGTTTAAACGTTGTGAATCTGTTGAGTTCACGTTTGTTCGTAATTTGGAACAACAATGGTACATTTCTAGGACGGCCGCATTTACTATCTGACGTCATGGATGTATGAGGAAGTCAAGCGCTTTGTCTGAACAGTGTTTTTTGTCACATTGGTGGGACATATGTTTACACACGGAGGTGTGCTTCATTTTTAGACTGAATATGACACCATTTCCCTTCCATCGAAAGCAGCAACTTCTTTTTTTATTAGTTCTCACTGCTGGAAAACATGTTGTCACGTGGCGCAGGTGGCTTCATTACTCTTCTGCATTTATTGTAATGGTATGAACAGCAAAAAAAGGGGCAGTAAGAGGAAAAACAAAACTACAGCTTGAAGCTTTATTCATAACTCTTCTCTTAATGCTATCCACACTTAAAGAAGTATTTGATTGGTTACCTCAACAGCTTGATGATGACAACAGATGTAGATCATGCATGTTATGACATGTCTTTTGTCAAGATACTTGACAAGCAAGTTATTTGTGTAAACAACACATTGGTGCCAATCATGTGGGAATTTCTCTGTGCGTGTTTCAACATAGAAGACAAAGCACAGAAACACTTTCAAGCTCAGTGTAATTGTTTTATTCAAAGACATAACATTTTTACATCATATAAAAATTAATAATTGAAAGTTAAATAAATTGTCAGCTAAATTCAGACAATTTTTAACAAAAAAAATATCATCCCTAATTGTTAAAAAACATTGAATTGGACCCTTGCATGTAACCACTTGGTTTCAGCCATCTTGCACGTGACATGAGGTAAAGAAGGGCCTAATAATAAACTGACATGTCATACAAGACAAGAATATCTTGACTTAACTGGAGTTGTTCCGCATTTTCTATTGAACAATTTATCGTTTACCTATCAACTTGTAATGAATCAACTGATTCACACACTGATCTCCCTGTTCTTCTCCTCTGTTGGGGAACGTAACTCTGCATTGCAATATCATGTTTGCCAGAATATTTCACTGTTAATGCTTTTGTTAATTTATGGTAGAGAAACATTTCTCAGTCTAAAAGTGTCACAGTGTCAAATGTCACTGCAGTAAGTCTTCTTTAACAAGCGTCTTAAAAATACCTATCACTTTTCCAGTAGGTTGTGTGGTCTCTATGCCACTAACAAATGTTACATGCATGCATAGGAAGTACCAGCAGTGTGAGGCATGTGTGTTTCATCGAGTTCATTCCAACAGACAAACACTGCCATAGCTGCAAATGCCCTGAAGTACTAAAATGATTTTTTGTTTCCTTTATCAGGCTGAAGAAAAATATTCTCAGATAGTATCAGCTATCAAAGAGGACTTCGTTCACCAGCAGAAGCCAGATCACCTGGTAGTTTCACCTCAACCGTATCAACGTGCTTCAAGAGAAGAGTCCTCACTTAGGGATAAACCAACTCTTTTGCTACAGACCCATGGCCCTTACGAACAGGAACGTTCCCCCGTTCCCCCTGTCAATGTTATCTCAGAGTCAAACAGCCAATGCCTTGGAGAAGCACCCTGTGAAACGTTACAGGAAGAGAAGATAAGCAGTGCAAAGATGGGCACAGAACCTGACACAGGGGAGGGCCATTCCTCCAATAAGTCATGTGAGGATGAGAAAACTGAAGTGAAATCAAACAAACAGCCTTGCTCGGATATAAACAGATCTGAGATTACCAAAATAAGAACAGGTTCACTGGAAGAGAGAATAGAGCCATGTCAATCTGAATCACCAGGTCAGGTGCTTTCACCTCTCCCTGCTGTGGCTACAGACAGTGTAGAGAAAGATAATGTTAAAGAACAGACAGAATGTACTTCACGTATTCAGAAAATGAATGTAGGCTTTCCGCTTACTGTAGCCCCAGAGAGTTTAGAAAAGGGAGACCTAAATATGCAGCAAGAATGCACTTCTTCTGTAGTAGAGGAGAGCACAAAAATCCACAATGTCAGTGCAATACAGAGTTTAAACACAGGCTTGAGAAGCAGTGAAGAGGAAAGTAAATTGAAAGAGGTATTGATTTCTGCTTTAGATTCAGAAGTGAAGTCTTGTAACGATCTTAGAACCCAAGAGGTGGAGGCAATTTTAGAAAGTGAGAGCACTGAAGCAATGAATGAGTGTGTAAAGTTAGAAGTAAAGACTGAAAAGCTAAAACCAGTGAAAGTAGATGAGTTTGATGAATCAAAGAGCCTTTTAGTAACAGAAAACAAGAAACACAGGATTGATTCACATCAAAATGGCTGTGTGATTAAGCAGGGCCAGCCTTCACTGAAGATCCCAGAGATCAAAATATCTACTATTGAAGACACCCCAGATATAAATCCAACTGTGGCAGGCGTAAACCCAATGGAACATTTTGTAATTCCAATAATTGAAATAATCGAGCCTGAGCTCAAAGAGCCCACTCTTCCACTAACTATTCTGGCACCAAACAAGAATTTTCCAAGTTTGCTGCCCACACACAAAAGTATGCAGAATGACAGCAACCTCTCCCCTACAGATGTAATAAAGGAAGTTGCGCAATTAGATGACAAGAGAAATATATTTGAGCTGGAGCCAGCACACAAGAAGAGCAGTGAACAGCTCCCCCAGATGAATCATGCATCAATTCCTGTTATAAGTGTTTCATGCACTGATGATAAGGAGGATGAAGTATGTGTAAAGGCACGGCAGACTGATGATACTCCGACAGTGCCTTTGTTTGTGGTGCCGCCAATCTCCGTCACTTGTCATGAAAGTGATTCTGGACTCACATTGCCCACTCAAAGTGAGTGGACAGAAACAGAAACTTCAGCTGCTCCGCAAAGGGGAACCAAGCAGGATGCTGATGATGAGAATAATACAACTGCGGCTGAAAAAACTCAAAGTGGCAAGCAGAAGCAAGTAAAAACTTCAGAAAAGGGTATTAAAGAAAACACTCCCTCTATGCTATATGAAGCTCTGATTCCAAAAGTTGGGGACAATGTGCTTTCCTTCAATAACGTAGCCAAAGACAACATTGTACCTGAAGTCTTGAAGGTAAAAAAAGAGGCAAAGATAGAGAATACTGTGTCTGTAGAGGACCTCCAAAGAAACAGACCATCTGTTGAGAGACTCTGCTTTAAACCCCCACCACACCCATCATTGAGTCCAGCCAGTCTTCGCAAATTCATGTCCAGAGCTTCTCAAGACCCAGACATATTAACTAATGACAAAACAGATGAAGATTTAAGTGGAGGCTCAACACCAACATCCTCCCTGTCCTGTGAGAGCAGTCCCCGTATGAAGCGCAGAGACAGTCTGACACTCATACGCTCCGCCACGCCTGAGGAGCTGGCCTCCGGAGCTCGTCGCAAGATATTCATGCCAAAACCTAAAGAAGATGGAGAGGGAGCAGTGGTAGGTGCCTTGGATACTCTAAGCAAGAAGGAGAGCCCTTACATGTCACCCAGCCAGGCGCGTAGAGCAGCATTACTACAAGCTCCCACTGGACAAAATACCCCACCAATGGAGAGGCGCTCTCCTCTGCTGAGCCGCAGGAAGGCCACCTTGGAGGTGCCAAAGGTTGTGGAGCAGACTCCCACTGTGGAGCCAGTCAGCACCAAACCAGAGGAGAAACCTGCTGAAAATAAGCTAGACCCTTTGAAAGGTAAAGAATACATCAGTGCTTACAGATGAAGTTTGTGAATATGTTATTATGTGTATGTTTCCAATGAGAGCTGTATCAACTTGTAGGCACAATATGATATTACTGTATGTTAACACTATAACTTTTCATAATTTTACTTTATTTAAAGAAAATAGAAAAAATATTCTCAATTTGTCTCAATACTCAATTAGCAGTTCAATGCCTGTTCATTTGACTTTTTTGTCTGGTTTTTCCAAAAACATCGTAACACGAGTGGTTATGTCAAATAGTTAGTTTGTCAACACTTGAATCTACTAGTCTAAGTATTTGAGGAAGTGGAAACATTAGAAAGTCTCAACTCTCCAGTAGAGTATATATTTACCTTGGGCCCCTCTCTCATACACCACCAGCTCCGCAGGTCATCCGTAAGATCCGGGGGGAGCCGTTCCCGGATGCCTCCGGACACCTGAAGCTGTGGTGCCAGTTCTTCAACGTGCTCAGTGACTCCACCATCAAATGGTACAGAGATGAGGAGGAAATTCTAGAAGTGAAGAGAAGGTAAATCCCCTTCTTACCTTACAACAACACAGCTTGAACCACCTGTAACACAAATACACAGCAGTGTCATATGGTGCTTGAGTTGTTGTATTACTTACTGCTGCTATTCTTTTGAGCATTTACAGCTGACATGACTGGTAAAAGTGGCCAGGTTCCAAAAGTGCGAGAATAATGTGTCAAGGATGAACAGGATTAATGTTGGCCTCTGAGTTCGCCCATGGCTTTCTGTCATTCCCAAATTCTCACTGCAGAGGCGTCCAGCTCATGTGACTGAGAGCCCCACAGCTGTGGCACAGATGGGTGAATCTCTGGCTAGACACGGACGCTGTAACCTGACACAATATTTTTCTCATCTCCAGGGGGCATTAAACGTCTATATTTGTGCTATGGGCTGCTGTGTCAGCACAGAGTGGCCATCTATCTCACAGTGACACCTTGTGGGTTGTTGTTGAATCTTTATCTAAAATGGTTTCATGATTATGTGTGTTTCCCCTTTTTTATCCTCAAGTGGAGGAGATGAAAGCCAAGTAGCACTGGCTGTTGTTTTAGCATCCAGCCATGACTGTGGGGTATATGGCTGTACGATCAATAATGAATATGGGACTGACACCACTGACTTCCTGCTCAGCGAGGACAGTAAGATACAGTATTCCCTAACATTCTTTAGTGTGAAATCTATTTCTAATACGATATAAAAAGTGATTTTATGACTCATTCTGTATTTATTTGTTTACAGTTCTGTCTGAGATACTACTAAAAGATGACTTGGAAGGTACATTCTTTAGTTATAACATATCAGCTAACGTTTTTCTGTTAATTTTGCTCAATGTAAATATGTATTTCTGTTTTCCTTTAGTTGGAGAGGAAATTGAGATGACCCCGCTGCTGTTCAGCAAAGGCCTGGCGGACTGTGGCAGCTGGGGTGAAAAATATTTTGGCCGCATTATGACCGAGACTGCGCAGATTGGAGAGGGCTGTGCTCACAAGGCCAGCAAAGTGAAGGTCATTTATGGCCTGGATCCCGTCTTTGAGTCTGGAAGCGCATGCATCATCAAAGTTCAAAGTCCCCATCGCCTATGGGAACACACAGGAGAGCAACCTGCCAGACAAAAATCTACAGATAACTAAGCAAGTGAGTTGTGGAGTTCGGTGTAAATTGCTTCCAATAATTCCTGGTGATTAGATTTTCATGACATTTATCTGCTTTATTAAATTATTTGTGTTGCTAGGAATGCAAAGTCCAAAACATGATGCGAGAATACTGTAAAATCTTTGCGGCTGAAGCAAGACTTATTGAGAACTTTGGCTTTTCACTAGAGTAAGTACCACACTTATTATACAGTAATTCTGATAATAAATTCCTATCAAAATCTAAAACACTGCTTGTGATGAACCCACTTTTTGTGTTTCCCACAGAGTGATTCCTCAGTATCTGATGTACCGGCCTGCAAACTCTGTGCCATATGCCACATTGGAGGCTGACCTTAAAGGTGAATTCCTCAAGTACTGCAGGATGGATCCTAAAGGCAGGCTGGTAACACAAACCGGCTCTGAGGTGGAGCAGAAATGCAGCACCTTCCAGCATTGGATCCATCAGTGGACACACGGCAATATGCTGCTTACTCGTCTGGAGGGTAAGGCCCACATCATGCTTACAAGTGCAATCATTTGTCTATTTATTTAAATAACAATAATAATAATAATAATCTTCTGTGATTTATATTTGCAGGTGTTGAAACAAAGATAACAAATGTTGGAGTTGTGACCAAGTCAAAAGGGTTTGTATCTACACCAGGGCATGCAAATGTAAATGTAGCTTTCTATCAGAATAGCTGGAATAAAAACATTTCCCCTTTATTTCAGATACCAAGGACTAACAGAGCAGGGCTCTCCCGAGGTGTTCGAACAGTTCCTGACACACCATCAGTGCAACTACTACTGTGGACTTCTCGGCCTGCGCTCACTGAAGTCTATTGACAGTCAACCCACCAAGATAAAGGGCTCCAGGAGCCCCCTGCTCAACCGCAAGCTGGGCTCTAACAGCCCACAGCTGCAGAGGAAAGGACAAAGCCCTCAGACGTCCCGAAAGGCTAGCCCAAAGGTGACTAGAAGAGTCCAGGAGACCGAGGATAATAAATCAGGCGCAAAGCCCAAGCCTGCAGTAACTGTTGATGTTCTTGAAGTGAGGTAGGGAAGATGTGCCTCTTCTGTGTCAAGCAAGATTTGATTGTTTTAAATGGTTCGGTATTACATTTTGGAAAGAGTGAGACTAAAAAGGAGTGTTTTGTTGGCCTGACTTGTCATTGAGATTGCTGTGAATTTCTCAGCTTTCATTACAATTATATTACATCTATCCTCCAGCTACTGGCTGTAGTTGAAAGGTTGGTAAGAATGTCAACAGCTAAAGCATTGTATTAACTTTCACAGAAGCAAAAGAAACACTCTGTCAGAGTAGAGATGACGTTAGCTATTGGATAGTTTGAAACACTTGCCTCAGCTCTACGAGTGGACAAATAATTCTCAAAGTAATAATACAAAAAACGTGATCATTGAAAAATTAACCTGACATACCCATAAGAGATGATGGTGTGATGTAGAGAACTATGGATAATAAAAACCAACGCCACAGAGCGGGTTGAGGGTATCATATTCATATTAATGCTGCATTTTCCTCTGTGATGTACAGTATGAGCGTAGGATATAACGTTTATTTTAGAGACTTTATTTTTGGCTTGCATTAGTAATGCCTATGCAGCCATTTTTACACAGCAAAGTTGAGCTCATGCTGTAAAATGACACCTTTTTGAGGTCAAATATTTGTGTGTGCACTTTGTCTTTGGCATAACTTGTTTTTGTAGTTTTTGAATACTTTTTATCTGTGTCCTCTTTGTCAATTTCAGTTCATTTCAATATATGCTGGTGAATGCAAAGCAATGAGGAGTAAGGGGCTTACCAGTCAACTCTTTAACTATGGTATGCTCATGCTCATTGACATGAAAACACACGGGTGTGTTCCCAGCAATGAGGAAAGCTGCTGAATGAGTAATTTGGATCCGACCTATGGACTGTGGGATAAAAGCACACTGAACAAAAAGAGCAGGCTCAGCACTTTCAGAAGCCTATTAATCACTAAGTAAGGCTCCCTGAATGAAGTCTGTCAAGTTTTACAGCAACTGACAACCACCTTCCACTGAACAAGAGAGCTGTGAGTATTTCTAGCGCAGGTATTCAAAGTTAAATAGTAACTGTAGTCACTTGCCTTTTACGAATAATAAAGACCTGACATGAAATCATTAGGAATTCCTAAAAAAGGAATCAATGATCAATGAGAGTTTTCAAAGCTGCCATTACTTAACATTTCTGTAATTACATGATTCTTTATCATATATAAATGATAAAAGAGGTTGGAATAAAGTTGAAACATCGACCAGTGGATGATGGGGAAATCACTGTAATGTTAAGGTGTAGTGTTGTGTTAAACAAACTGTACTATGTTTGTGTACATAAAGTCAAAGGACTGATTATCTGAAGAGTGATTGAGTAATTGAATGAGTGATTAAGAAGAATAAGTGTGTGTTTACCACATGTGCTTTTTGTCATGTCAAATCATGTCAGCAAATGTTTTTTTAAATAAAAATGTTTAAAATGAAAAACCTTGTGACATTATTTAATCACTTCATTTAATTTTAAATATTCACACTTATCAAACTGTTGATGCCTGAATATATAAGAGGTATATTTCTTAAGGTGTGTCCTTTAAATCCTTTAAATACAAATGGCATACAATTACAAAACTATACATGAAAGATACATTCATCTTGTGTCAGATTTGTGTGATACAAATATACAACACAGGTAGAGAAGACCCGTAAATTAACAACACTGATGTGTCTTTCCTCTTCTAGTAACAAACTGGCACAGAGAGGCCAAAGTACTGACAGCATTTAGAGAAAAACACAGTGGTGTTTGCTACTGTGTTCCACGGTTCTTCAAATGAGATGGTCCCGTTGTTAACAGTGCTGAAAGAAAAACAAATTGTAGATGTTAGTCCAAATGTAGATATTGACAGATATTACTTAACTCAATTGATCACAGCTATACAAATACACATTTTAAAATCTATTAAACCTGAGTGGGCCTGATGTTTTTTCCTTTACATTTTGTAGTCATTCCTTCTAATAAAAATGTACTTACTTTTGAAAAAGGTCTTGGCAGCAACTTTGTATATTTACATCGGTGGCATTGAAAGCTTTGAACAGCGTCACGCAGTCCACTGGGATAACAACGAGGAACCCTAAGAAATAAAGTGAAAAAGCTTCTCAGTTACAGCACAACATGAAACTGCACTCCCTGTTCAATTCAATCATCTCACCTGCAACACAGGCATTGATGAGAGATACACAAGTTGCAGTGAGCATAGCTCTCAACACCATTGAGGAGATGTCACCTCTTCTGGAAGGGCATATTGAGGCTTTGAGAAAAGAAAAATCATTATTGACAAATTATCCTGTGGCAGGAAAAAACAATGACGATGGGGTGAAAAAATACTCACACAGGCCTCCAATCATAATACCCAGCGAGCTGAAGTTGGCAAAACCACAAAGAGAATAAGTGCTGATTATTTCTGACCGGACCTGAAACAAAACAAAAAATCATGTAATTTTAATTTGCCTTTCCAAAAATAATTTCCTTAGAATTTTGTTCTGTGTTAAGCACACCTATACGAACTCCAATTTAGAAAATGTACTCACAGATAACCATTGTAATTCTCCTCCCACAAATTGTTCAAGTCCATTGAGTCTGTTGGTCTTCAGTGCAGATAGTGTCTGATAAGCCACAAACTCATTGAGGAAGAGCTTTGTCCCAATGAGTTTAGCCACAGTGAAACTCTCCTTATACGGTATTCCTATCATAAAAGCCACCGGCATGAATACATAGGAGCAAATCATCTATGAGCACAGGGAGACAAATGGTTATTTATTTGGATATTGTAAAACTCCGTAGTTAATCACAGGAAAACTGAACAAAATCTATGTAACGTCAGCATAAATAAATGCATGTCAGTCCAACAATTTAATAAATGATAATGTAAATAAGAAATCAATGATCAAAACAAATGTGAATTTAAACGTTTCTTTATTTTACCTCAATACTTTTTTTATTTACCACGATGTTCTTTTCTTTCTCTTTTTCTAATCTTTTTTCATAGCCAGCTATTTCTGAATACCTTTAACACATTCAGATTTGTTTAAAAAAACATTATCAAAATGTCAAATTTAAGTTTTCTGTCTTGTGCTAAAACATACCTCAAATGTGATATCAGGACGTCCCAGCATACCGCCAAACCAACTCAATGCTTTATTTATGAACCCGAGTATGGCCAGGAAGGCTATCAAATTTGCAGCAATGTTTGCAACAAGACCTATTGAAGCAGACGCTCCACTGCTAGCAGCCTCCAAGATGTTCTGTTCATCACTGTCGAGTTAACAATTGTATTTTTTATTATTCACAAAAATAGAAAAATCATGAAAACGTACGAAAATTTAAGGGACATATATACACACCCAGAAGACACTTTAATACTCTTCTCTGACTTTAAGGCACTCTCCTCTGTCTCTGGGTAAGAAAGTTTGGAGATGGCCAAAGCACAAGGAGCAGCCATTACAGAGGCTGAAAGCAAGGAAGACGGATCAATCTGCAAAATAAAAGGAAATGTAATTTAATTCCGGTGTTAGACTTTAGAAGGAGTTCCTGCATTAATAAGAAACAAATACAGTGTTTGATATTCTGCAATTGAAGTAAACAGAACCACTTTCAAACATAAAAAAGTCTTAATTGCTTTTTTATTAAGCATCAACATCAGTGTTATACTCAATATCTAAATGCAGAGCATTTGCAGATTTGTACAAAGAAAGAGCACCATTATGAGGTACACAAATGCAAAACTGATCATGTTAGTCAAACCTATCCCTCGCCCAACCATTATCTTTTCCTGTTTTAATGTCGTTGATGTTGATTTGCTCAACAAATATGGTTTGCTGAGACAAGGGAGTGGCTTGAATATGACCTGCTGGCACCTTGCTTCATGTCATCCTCTTTTTTATGTTATTTCCCAGGAGTCCATTGTTTCATAATGTCAACAGGGTTCTCTGCTATCTATCAATGAATGAATAAGTCATCTGATACATAGCAGCTTTTTGAGGATGTGTTTTGGGTGCTTATCAGCAGAACTACTGCAAATGATTAACTTCTCTTTGTTGTTCAGTAACCTTCAAAACCTGTTTCTGTAGATCTTCTTCTGGGACACTCTAGATGGCAGTAACATGAATCACTGCAAATTGTGGTAATTAGCTAGTTCTAACCGGTTTATCTTCAGCTATTAGACTTTATTGGCTCCACTTAAAAAAGTAAATATTTGTGTAATCTGTCCCAAGTTTTTCCTCATGGGCCCCATTAGTTTCTGATCTGAGCCTTGTCTAAAGCCTTGCACATTTTTCAGAAATAGCTGCTCTGTAATAGTTCACAAAGCATAACATTGACTGCTAGCTTGCTTACTAAAAGATCTCTTAGTAACCATAACGTTAGGATAATGAATTGGCAGAGCATCTCAAATGTCTTCTCCTTGGAGAAGCACTTGTTGGCCAAGTACTATTTGGCCATTGGCCATTTTAAACTTTAAACCTCTTACTGTTAGTTTAAGTTTAAACTGGATCACATTTTTAGTTTAATTTATCTACTGTTTTAAAAGAGAGGTATACATGTTTAATGTTTTTTCTGATATTCTCATCATGAACTGTTCATGAAACCCGCTTTTACCTACGAGCCTTTACATTGATTTACTCCCATACAAAAGATTGTTATTCATGTAGTATTCCTATAGATATTTTTTCTTAATCATTATTTGTGTATTAACCCTGTATGCAATGGCAATCAAAACGTAATCTCACCCCAAATGAGATGAATGCCCCATGACACTGCCTGCAATGGTGGCAAATCCACCAGTCATAACAGCATGGATCTCAGATTTGGTCATGTCGATCAAATAAGGGCGGATCAGCAGAGGAGCTTCAGTCTAAAGCACAAAAAAGGTAGAGCAAAAGTAAACAACAGAGAAACTCTAGGATGCACTTAATAATATTTTTTATTCAGTCATGAAACTTGAATCCCAGCTTTCTATGATGTCAAAACCAAACGTAATCAGTCAAATGTGAGAGATATAAGTGCAAAGAAATCAAGTGTTGCTCAGAGTACCTGCCCAACAAATATATTGCCCGCCACACTCAAGGTCTCTGTGGGAGAGGTTCCCATCGTTATCTGCATAACCCATGAGATCTGCATGGACAAAAACACATGGCTCTCGTTCATAATATGACTGCAGGCTTAAGTTATACAACCCCAGACCTTTGCTGCTGTGAGCAATACGTTTAATCTTTCTTTACCTTCAAAATGAGCCACTGCATTATTCCCAAATAGTAAAGGATTGACATCACGCTGCTGAAGAACACAACAATGGGCAAAGCCTGAGAAAGAAATCACCAAATTAAATTATAACATGTTCGATTTTAATAAATTGAATATTGGTTTAGTGCCAATATATAACTCAATGTCACCACTTACTTGAAAGGCAAAGATGTTATCGATCAGATCCCCAAAGACAAAACGTGAACCTTCTTTGGTATAGTCAAGGAATATCTGTAAACATGACAAAGAAAACATGGGTTGCATTATTTCAAATGATTGTTTATTTTCTCAATCCTTTCATCCACTCATAATTATGATTTGGTAATAGGAAGTCTTTGAACTAATTGGGCAACCACACATTAAAAAGTGACATGCCTGTCTCACATTGTGCTGATTTCACCCTTAGATGACTCAAAATGAGGCTGAATAGCACCATAAAGTAGCTCTAAAGATAAGCATATACATTACATTGCATTTAGCTGACGCTTTTATCCAAAGCGACTTACAATAAGTGCATTCGACCAAGAAGATACAAACTTGAATATACAATCCACTCAGTAAAAGAATAGTGTTTCTTGGTGGATAAGTAACAATGTAAATACATGCAAAGACTGATGGGCAAACCAGGAGTGATTTCACAGTAACACTACTCACTTATGAGTTGAAAATAAACGTTTTAGGATGTTAGTAAAAATGTATGGTATTTGTATTTGACATTTCTGATATAATACTTGAGAAAGCAAGATAGGACTATAAACCATGATCAGGGTTCATACACTTTTTCACCAATGATTTTCAATGCGTTTTCCATGACTTCTCAATTACCTTTACCTCATTTTCCATGACCAAAAAAAAATTACCACTGAAAATGGTTTATTTTAACATGGAACAGGAAAATAATGTCTGCATATGAAACATGTTGTGCCTATCTAAAACAAATCAAATAGTAGGCTTACTAGCTTCTACACGCTAAAGCAACTGTAGTCAGAGAGGCAAACTCATCAGGTATGAAAAAGGTGACAAGGATCCGAGCCCCCCGACCCCACGGAATATCGGCTTTAAAATGAGGAATAACAGATGATTTTAGCAGTCAGAACAACTAAAGCAGCAGTGTTAATAATAACAGAAACGCCAGAGTCACATCTAGTAGAAATATATAAAAGCATTTATTTTAATTGTGTAGCAGTCAGTTTATAATTTTGGCAGCACTGTTGAGCATTTTGAAAATGTATTTTCATGCCTCTGTGCAAGGCACAGTCTTCTATCTTTATAGCCACTTGTGTAAAGTAACTAAGTTCATAAACTCAACAAGTACTATACTTGGGTACAATTTTGAGATACTTGTACTTTATTTAAGTATTTCAATGTTTTGCTACTTTGTACTTCTACTCCTCTACAGTTCAGAGGTACATGGTGTACTTCTACTCCTCTACAGTTCAGAGGTACATGGTGTACTTCTACTCCTCTACAGTTCAAAAGTACATGGTGTACTTCTACTCCACTATAGTTCAGAGGTACATGGTGTACTTTTCCTCCACTACATGTATTTAATACCTTTAGTTACTTTACAGATGTGGATGAATGATGTGAAATATAATCAAGTGTTAAATCAGACTGTAGTTCCACCTGGAGTAAATCCACAAGCTACCCTGCAGTATACAAAGTCATTCAAACTGCACCTTTACCAGCTTTGAGAACACTTTCATGATCAATCATTATAAAACATATCATATATATTATTCTGAAATGGACCAATCTGCACAATGAAAACTTTTACTGTCGCTACTTTAACTATAATTTGATGATAATACTTTTGTACTTTTACTTGAGTAACATTTTGAATGCAGGACTTTTACTGTAACAGAGTATTCCTACACTCTGGTACTTCTACTTTTACTCAAGTACAATATCTGAGTACTTCTACTTTTACTACAAGATCAGAGTACTCTACTTTTACTCAAGTACAAGACCTGAGTACTTCTACTTTTACTCAAGTACAAGACCTGAGTACTTCTACTTTTACTCAAGTACAAGATCTGAGTACTTCTACATTACTCAAGTACAAGATCTGAGTACTTCTACTTACTCAAGTACAACATCTGAGTACTTCTACTTTTACTCAAGTACAAGATCTGAGTACTTTACTTTTATTAAGTACAAGATCTGAGTACTTCCACTTCTACTAAAGTACAAGATCTGAGTACTTCTAATAAAGTACAAGATCTGAGTACTTCTACTAAAGTACAAGAACGGAGTACTTCTACTCGAGTACAATATCTGAGTACTTTTACTTATCTGAGTACTTCTACTTTAACTCAAGTACAAGATCTGAGTACTTCTACTTTTACTCAAGTACAAGACCTGAGTACTTCTACTTTTACTCAAGTACAAGACCTGAGTACTTCTACTTTTACTCAAGTACAAGATCTGAGTACTTCTACTTTTACTCTAGCACAATATCTATACGTATACCACCTCCGTTTATAGCCTATGAAAACAAATATTAGAAAACAAAGGCTAAAGCTAACGTTATCAGATAGTGACAATGAATGCTAGCTAGCTAGCTAGCTCAACGATTCCTTAAATGATATTGCGACAGAACAACTTTTCAGTTCACATCACGCTCTGCCGCTCGCTCTGCCGCTATGCTCTGAACACCTGAACGGCCCGTTCTAACAGCTGTTCACCAGCGGCTCAGTCTGTGCCACAGTGACTCCGCACAGTTCACGAACGCACCGTAGCTAATGTAGCTGACCCTCATCCCGGAGCAGCAGAGTTCAACCGACAGGCAGGAAGACTCGCGCTTCATATATTAAAAAATAACATCATGCGCGTCATGATGGCACATAACAGCTCGCGACCGCAGATTATTTCGGCGATTAGATCAAATGTAAATTAAATTTGACGCAACTTTAGTTACATTTCCGTGACTTTTCCAAAACTTTGGGAAAAATATTGTTTTCCATAACTTTTCCAGGGCCTGGAATTAGCATTTTGAATTTCCATGACTTTTCCAGTTCTCATTCATAACACTCCGTTCGATGTCTCACTATGGGATGCGCCTCATCGCGGAGCAAACAGAAGCATCAATCTCATTACGCCAATCCTGATTGGCTGGTGATCTTGACGTCAACGTCAGGGAATCACCCCCTATAAGTAGCTTGCGCCACGACGCATGCGTCATTCAAACACCTCTTCTCGCTTCAGAGCACATATCTACAGTAGCCGGACAAGCTTAACAGTCCACAGACTGAACCCAAATCCAAAACATTTCGGTCGACGGGCGCTCGCCGGCTACTCCTTCTGCTTCGCAAGAAGACGGTAATACTAACGCCAGTTAGTATTAAAATCGACCTCGCCGTTTCTTTCCCCGGAAAGTAAGGTAAGGTTTTGATTTTTCTCAAGCTAGCTACGCACCTGTTGCTAGCTAGCTTCCCCTTACTACCGACACCACGGTAGCGAGGACGCTTTTCTTTTTCTCTCTCACGGAGGAGAAAAGGATTAGAAGTATATTGACACACCAGTCAATATTCTTTGAGAACAAAGGACCCACACCGTCCCTTTTTCTCCGGATTAAGGACGGGTTGGTAACACTTTTCTCTCAACGACGTACCTGTTACGAGCGGGTCCTCTCCACGCCACGAGGCGAACAAGATGGACGCCTCTCCCCCTCACACCAGAGGAGTCAGGGACTCGGAAGCTCGGTTATGCGGCTGCGGGTTGAAGATAGCAGGCTCACACCAGGTCTGCTCGTCCTGCCTCGGGCTGGAACACGCCCAGGAGGCTATCGACAACCCCGGCTCGTGCGGGCATTGTGCCCGTTTCATCCAAAAGAGCCTCCACCGACGGCTAGCACACCAAGCTAGCTTGTTGGAACAGGACTCCCTCATGTCCACTGATTCGCCATTTGGCAATCAAGACACGGGGGCGTCCGCCGCAGAGACTGAGCCCCTCACTGTGTCGGTCTGGGGCTCACTAACAGCGGCAACTGCGGAACCGGGATCCCACGCCGTGTCAGGCCGGGACCCGGTGGTGGCAAGAGATGCGGGAACGGAGCCCCATGCCTCACCAGGCGGGAGCTCCCGGCGAGACCTCACCATGGTCTCGCCCGCGGAGGATGTCCTGGAATTAGACTACATGGAGGACGAAGAGGACACCTCTGAGTCCCTCCTGTCTGATTCGGATGAGCAAGAAGAAGATATCTTCATGGGAGCGATGGCTGCTCTCCCGGGCGATAGCACACCAGCTTCGCCCTGTCTGAGCATGGACCTGCAGGCCGCGTGTCAGGGCGCTGCGTCCAGGCTAGACATCCCGTGGCCCAAAATGGCCAAGGAGACCGCCAGGTCCCGTTACGAGGGGAAACATTCTCCCCAACAACTCCTCCCGGTCTTCCCGGAGATGTTGGATGAGGTGTCGGTCTCGTGGAGGGACCGACCCTTTAGCAACAAGGCCCCAATCCAGGGTGCCTCCTCCCTAGACTGCGACGGTATGGAGAGGCTCGGCCTGCTCCGCATACCGCCGATGGAACTGCTGGTGGCAGCCCACCTCCTACCGAGGATGGGCCCGTCACCAAGCAGGAACCCCACGGTGCCAGCGAAGGTGGACCGTTTCCAGTCGACCATGACTGAACGGTCCTACAGAGCCGCAGCGTTATCTGCCAGGGCTCTGAACGTTTCCTCACTGCTAACCGCATACCAAGCGGAGCTCTGTGAGGATATGTCGAGTAATCCTGGACCGGCCGTTCTGGACGAGTTGGCCGCGGTCACAGACATTTGTCTCCGTGTCCAACGCTGCGCCGTCCAGGCCACGGGCAAAACAATGGGGATCATGGTGGTGCAGGAAAGAGCTAGATGGCTCAACCTCACCAACCTCCCAGACCGGGAAAAGGAGGATGTGCTTGACATGCCCATCGTTCCCGAGGGGATTTTCGGCTCCGCTCTTGCCTCCATGCAGAGGAGATGCGAGTCGGGATGCCTTCGAGGGATGCCTCCCTCGAAGGGCCCAGCCGCTGCCTTCACAGCGGCAGCCCTTCGTCCAAGCTGCCCCGAACCCTGCTCGGTTCAAAATACCGAAAACGCAGAGGTCGCAGTCCGCCCCGAGTCCCCAGTCCGCTGACGCATCCAGGCTTCGAGCCAAGGGCGCAGCTCGAAAAAATGAAAAGAAAAACAATAAAAACAATAAACAGTCCGTCAACTGTTCCCCTTCTGAGAGCAGCTACGGCCTCTCTCAAAGGGCGGACAATTGACGGGTCTGTGAAGGCACCACTGTCACGCGCATGCGCAGTCCCGGCTGGAGCTGTAAAGGCACCACCGTCACGCGCATGCGCAGTGCCGGCTGGGGTCGTGAAGGCACCACCGTCACGCGCATGCGCAGTCCCGGCTGGAGCTGTAAAGGCACCACCGTCACGTGCATGCGCAGTGCCGGCTGGGGTTGTGAAGGCACCACCGTCACGCGCATGCGCAGTGCCGGCTGGAGCCGTAAGGGCACCACCGCCACACGCATGCGCTGTGTCGGTGGGGATTGTCGAAATGGGGCACCACAGTGCTCAGACACTGAAGGGCCCCATAACACAACAAATAGAGACTCAGAGGGGAAGAGACGTGACATCTCAGCTGGCTCTAAGGAGCATACAGCGGGAGATGCTCACGACATCTGCTTGGGTTTCTCAAGACAGTTACACGGAGCTACAGACTCCAAGTCACCGTCACCCCCCCTCGCTTCTCGGGCTATCTGTATTCACAAGCCCGGGGAGAGTCAACCCATATTCTGGAGAGAGAGATTCTCTGTCTCCTAGAAAGGAGGGTTTTATCTATAATGCCCGCCAAACAGAGTCAGATTACGCACACAAATGTCCACTGGCCGCACCCGACTTTTCTGGTACGGGGCGCGCCTACGGGTGCTGTCCTTTCACGGAAGGTGGTCACCACGGACGCATGTCTGACAGGCTGATAGGGTATTTACAAAGGTCGCCCGGTGAGGGGTCTCTGGAGCAGAGACCTCCAGCGGGCGCACGTAAATCACCCGGAGCTTTTAGCGGTGTTCCCCACCCTAAAACGCTTTCTGCCTTCTCTCAGAGGACACCATGTCCTCGTGAGGACAGACAACACGACCACAGTATCGTGTATGAACCGCCAAGGGAGGTTGCGTTGTCTCCAGTCACTCACACTGGCACACAAACTGATCCCTTGGAGCGGCAGACGTCTCCTCTATCTGAGAGCGACGCATGTACCAGGAGTGATGTACCTCGGGACAGAACTACTGTTCAGAGGTGCACCACTCTATGCAGACTGGACTCCACATCCAAGGATCGTTAGTCCGCTGTGGGTGCGTTACGTCAGAGCCGCGTTAAATCTGTTTGCATAAAGAGAAAATGCTCAATGACAGCTGTTCTCTTTAATGCACGATTTAAACGCACCGTTAGGCATGGACTTACTCGTAAACGATTGACCTCCGGGTCTTCTGTACGCGTTCCCACCCCTGGCTCTGATACCCCCAACTCTGGCCAGAGTGAAGGAGCAACGCCACACACTTATCCTGATGGCTCCGCCCTAGCCCGCAACGTACGGGCTGGCGGAGATATATCAGCTGTTGTGCGGGCAGCCATGGCAGCCCCCTCTACGCAGGGACAGATTGTCTCAGGCGGGGGGGGCGATCCTTCACCCACGCCCAGAGCGCGGGGCACTATGGGCCTGACCCGTGAGTGGTACAATCTGAATACAGTGGGACTCCCTCAGAAGGTGATAAACACTATTCAGAGTGCGAGAGCTTCCTCCACCAGGTCTCTTTATGACTGTAAGTGGAGGGTGTTTGAGGATTGGTGCCTTCAAGAAGGACACATCTCCTTTCAATGTCCTGTCGGGGTGATTTTATCATTTCTACAGGACTTGATCGATAAACACAGAGCTTTCTCCACGATCAAGGTGTACCTGGCTGCTATTGCTGCATGCCATGTGGGCTTTGAGGGTAAGACGGCTAGCCAACATCCTTTGGTCTGCCGTTTTATGAAGGGAGCTCGCAGGCTCCTCCCTGTCTCCAGGTCACTGGAGCCCTTATGGGACTTGGCAGTGGTTTTAAATGGGCTCAGAATGACCCCATTTGAACCCCTGGAAGGAGCTGGCATGAAACATCTGTCACTCAAGACAGTGCTGTTACTGGCCCTGGCATCCGCCAAGCGGGTCAGTGATATTCATGCGCTGTCTGTACATCCTTCATGCACTCAGTTCGCCCCAGGGCAAACGAGAGTGTTGTTGAAGCCCAACCCTGCCTTTACACCAAAGGTGGTTGGTTCGTGTACCCCAATTGACATTGAGGGATTTCCTCCGCCGCTGGTTTCCTCCGGGGAACAACAGCAGGATCTGTTGTGTCCAGTCCGTGCTTTACGCACATATATGGACAGATCAAAGGAGCTTCGTCTTAATGACCAACTCTTTGTGTCCTGGGCTAACCCTCACAAGGGCAAGCGTGTTACTAAGCAACGGCTCTCCCACTGGATTGTGGAGGCAATTGCTTTGGCCTATACGAGTCAGACTTTGCAAGCACCTTCGGGTCTGCGGGCTCACTCGACTCGGGGCCTGGATACATCCTGGGCTTTGTTCAAGGGTGTTTCCATCCAAGACATCTGTGCAGCGGCAAGCTGGTCCTCGCCGCTCACTTTTGTCCGCTTTTACAGGCTAGACGTCTCCGCTCCAAGCGTGGCCCGAGCAGTGCTGGGCACCTTGTTGAGTCGGGACTCTACCTGTTAAGTTCTGGTTGGTTGGTGATTTTCGAGATAAGCTCGCCTGGCAATACGGGAGCTACAATTTCCCATAGTGAGACATCGAACGGAGTGTTATGAATGAGAACTATAGGTTACTTACGTAACCCCAGTTCTCAGAGTAACATGAAGTGCGATGTCTCACCAGACGGCCCTCCTTGCTATGGTGAAGCGAGAAGAGGTGCTTATTTTGAATGACGCATGCGTCGTGGCGCAAGCTACTTATAGGGGGTGATTCCCTGACGTTGACGTCAAGATCACCAGCCAATCAGGATTGGCGTAATGAGATTGATGCTTCTGTTTGCTCCGCGATGAGGCGCATCCCATAGTGAGACATCTCACTTCATGTTACTCTGAGAACTGGGGTTACGTAAGTAACCTATAGGTTTTCAATGACCGTACGAACCCTGCATGGTGAAGCCACACACATCTACAAAGGTTTAAGGCTTTATATACCTGCACTTGATGTCCAAGCCATTGGAATGCTATGTTCCCAGGCGTTGTTCTTATTACAAAAAGGCCAATGCAGAACTGCAACCCTAGACCCCAAAACACAGGCCTCCATGACACCTAAAAGATTTTCAAAAAGGAAATGGTTAGTGACTGTATCAGGGAGTTGCCAGAAAACCTTATTATTATTATTATAATCGCAAGAAAGCACTTCTGCTAAACCCTAAGATGATATGGGCACAAGGCCAATTGATATCAAATGTCTAAGCCAAACAGACAGAGATGACTTGAGCAATAACTCCAGAGCATGTTTCGAAACAGTTTTCATCACAGTGACAATGCATCCTTGAGCATAAATTCAGTGGTTGACTCAATGCAGAACTCACCGCTGTCCTGTGTGCTGACAAGAGATACAGAAGCACGACGAGCAGACACACACCTCCTAACGGGATTAGCTCCTCAGGGCACCCCCACTTGTCAAAGGCGAGAAACAGAACAAACAGGGCCACAACTGCTAAGATGAAGACCCTATAAACACAATAAAACACACCTTCCCTCATAAACAGGTTTCATAATCAGACACACACCTCCTAACAGGATTAGCTCCTCAGGGCACCCCCACTTGTCAAAGGCGAGCCACAGAACAAGCAGGGCCACAACTGCTAAGATGAAGACCCTATAAACACAATCAAACACACCTTCCCTTATAAACAGGTTTCATAATGTGTAGCTTCTTCAACTGAAAACAAGACGTCCACTCACCATTTTATCCATTTCAAGTTAGATTTGAAGTATTTTACAGCAGGGCTGAAACACTTAACGATGCTTTCTCCTTTGTACTGCTTCAGAAGTTCATATGATTGAACGACAATAGCTAAACTGGTGAGGACTACAAGAGCGATGGCCCTCTGGAAATCCAATAGGCAGGCTGCGATGAAGTACGCCACATAACCTGCAGGACAGAAAAATGCATTTACAAAACAAAGTTGTATATATATTTACTGATTACTGCACATTTTTAAGACAAATGAATAGACTTTCAGTATTACCTGCTCCAAGTATGCCCAGCACGACATATTTGAAGGTTTGGGAATGTGCCTTGATGTAATCCTCTGTGGCATTTAACGGCTTGGAAACTTGGCTGAAGTTCAGGACCAATATACACAAAACATATTTCTGTTTTAAACAGTATTTTCTTGGGTAAAAAAAAAAGGGTTTTTCACATGATCATAGATTCAATACCTATTAATGGATATTTGCCCAAAAATTGAGAATTGATAATAATGTTACAGTTTACAATAGCACAGAAAGAAGCTGCAGATCTTCGGTTGAAAGTACATATAGTATAATCAAAATTAACATTGCATAAGCAGTCAACCTGCAGGGATAATTGTACCCAGGAAAAAACAATTTTAACTCAAAAAATATACAATTACTTGAAGTGACATACCTTAAGTATGATCCCAATCCCTTTTTAGTCTCTTTAGTCTGGCTATTGGAGCCGTTAGTATCAGTAATGCAATGCTGAGAAAATAAAGAAATATTTGTTATGATCATGTTGTTTCATTATCTTTTAAGAAAGGAAATGTGATACATACCTCGAAAGCCGGGTTGTCCACGCCATTTCCTTTATCGTGGGTTACTTTTTGCAACTGGACATCGTCAGTTTCCGCTGAAAAAAACAAAGAATCTTTGTTCAAGCTCATGCAGCAGCCTTTGGTAGAGCAGTTTAAACTTTACCAGCCAGGAATGCCAGACAAGTAAAAAACGTTGTTTCCAAATTATACTATGAAAAATAAACTTAAAATAAACTCCACATAGTCTTTGTAGCTTAATGGTAAGCAAAATAACTGTTCAGATCTGCTAAACAAATGGCTTCATGGAAGGAAAAGCTGAGCTAATGGCTTACTCATTGTGCGTCGTCCTCAACCTGGCAGTGAAATGCTGTGCTGTGAAACACTGCGGGAAAACATAGTCTGCCCTCTATGAAACATGTCATCATTAATTAACAGACATGTTATGTACTAATGTGATCTTCTCAGGAATTGCAGGATAAGAGTGATAATTAAATATAAATTATTTAATTGTTGATGATAAGATGATGATTATATTCTTTGACCTTAAGAAACCAACATGTCATCATAAAAGTAAATACGAAGTGGATTAATCAGGAATGAGTTCATGTGTTAGAGGATGTACTCCAACCATGCTTTATGTTAGTCATAAAAAGCCATTGTGCTCCTATTTATCAAGAATACATTTCTCGGAAGCATGTGAACCAACAATATATGTGTCGTAACTCAAAAACACATTTCTTTCTTTTCTAGTTTTACTGAGCTATGTGAAATGCAATTTACTTTGTGTGAACAAAAACCTTAATCATGTTGAGAAATAAATATGTAGGTAATGGTGAATACAATAGTTATTCCTTAGATTAAATTCAAGATGCCATGGTGCAGACAGACAGACAGACATAACGATATAAAATAATACAAATGTTAAGTTATGACTGCTGTTAAGTCTGTAGTAAGAAGAAACCCTTTTTATGAGGTTATAATAGAAAGAAGTACTTATCCTGTAATGTGTCAGAGCACACATCCTCTAAGGAAATAGCCCAAAGATAAGTATGTGAACTTTGACTGTACTATGTAACTCTACAGAGTTAAATTCTACTGTATGTATACTGCAATACTCTCATAATACTTCATACTTTTGCAATATCAAATGAACTTGTATTTTTATGACAGAATACATTTAGTTTAAATGTATGTTTTGAAGATTTAGTATACTTGATTTCACTGCTAAATCAGATTGTCTCTAAATCAGTTATAGCTGTTATCTGGACCATTACATTATATTGCAGTGCAATTTGCACTTTACTTTCAGGTAGATGATTCATGATTGGATGTAATGGCAGCTATTTGTTCCACTCGCTGCTGTTCAACTATGATGCCACACACAAAAAAGACTATCTGATTCTTCATAAAATGTTCTTTATCCCTGCTTCATAACACTCAATGAGGGCACAGTCTGTCTGGATGGGTATAATAAACAATTATTCTAGTTCACCCTTGTGTGGTGTTCAGGTCAAATGGACCCGATTTCCATTTTCAATGAATAAAAACAAATATAAGGATATTTTTGTTCAACCTGAAACTGGCCGGGGCTTATTTATTGTGAAGGACATGTGGAATTGTTTTTATTTTTTTCCACTTATGAAAAAAGTCCCACCCGCATTTATGTCCTTCATAAGAGGTTCGGGTCAATCTGACCCGGATACAATACCAGGACAGACAGACAGAGAAAAACACACAGAAACTAAAGACACACACACACACACACACACACACACACACACACACACACACACACACACACACACACAATTGTATGCAGAGAAGCTATTTGATCCTGTTTTCCCTTGATCTTTACCCTTTGTAGTGTGTACACACAACTATCCTAGAACATTATAACATTTTTACATTTTCTCGCACTGTTCCCCTCGCACCTGCATGCCGGAGGAGGGACTAAACAGAGACATAACCTCACATTACAGTGTAGTGCAGAACTACAATTATCTACCAGCAAAATGGCCAAACGATATTCTGCTCAGAGAGCCTTGGAGCAAATAATGGATGAGTGAGTGGAATGCATTAGAAGAACACAGTGAAGTGGAACAGGAAGACATTTCTGAAGATGAGGATAATGTGGATAAACCCAGAATGGAAGCAAAAGAAGCTCCAAAGAAGACACGTTTTTCTGGAGGAGCTTGGCAAGGCACTGGTAACACCTCACATGCAGCAAAGACAACACATCCCCAGGAACCCAGCTTCTGTTGCTATATTGAGGAAGATGGTGGCAACTCCTGCTGCTACACCTGCACGGCCAACACAACCACAACCTGCAGTGCCTGATGTAAGTGTGTGTGTGTGTGTGTGTGTGTGTGTGTGTGTGTGTGTGTGTGTGTGTGTGTGTGTTTTCCAGTGTTAGGGTGGAGGGATGTGGTGAAAACAATTTCTGAACTAATACATATTTTACTGTTCTAGATTGCACCCTGTGCCGGCAAAAGGAAGTGCTGTGAGGTCTATGGACCCTTAAAGGACTCCAAGACACAGACTACATGCAGCAACTGCAACAAGTACATCTGTGCTATACACACGAAGAAGTTCTGTACATCATGTGTTTCCTAAACGGACTTGCCCATTGACTCACATGATGTTCTGCAGCGTCACTTCATCAATATATTTTTCGGATATACTGTATTTTATGAATAGTGACTGTTAATTGTTTTTATTTGCTTTGTGTTTATATCTGTTCTATGTCATTTATATGGATGTTTCATCATCTCTATATATTTCACAGCCAAATACTTTTGGATGTGTGGTTCTTGTGTTTCAATTGCTGTTAAATTGCTTTATTTCCTTCAGGGCTTTGATTATTATATGACAGATTAAAAATAATAAACATTAATGAAAAAATGTTTCATTTACATTTGTCCTAGAAAAGCATGAGCAAAATGTAAACCTAGTTTTTATTACAGTGTATTTTTCTTAACATAAATTACATTATTATCACAAAAAACGATGGATACTTCCATTGTTAAATTTGATCTAGCAAAGAGTATTTTCAAAAACGAATCATATATTTCATTTATATTGTTGGGGAATGAGTTAAAGACAATATATATAAGGAATTGTGCATGTTGAATTTAGTTCTGTATTTTTTTTTAAACCCCGGAATATGTCCCGGGTCAATTTGACCCGAACATTACCAAAGGGTGCGGAATGTGAACATAACACAAGGGTTAAAAAGCACAAGATGTTCTTGTGTTCACGGTTATCAGAAAGCCTGGCAGACCCTGACATTTATTAGCAGAGGGACCTAATGACAGATTGTGTGGCACAACATTAAATACCAGTTGGTTCATTAATAACCCATAAAATGTGTTATGGACACTATCAACTCATTTTCCAACAGTCAAATAAAGATGAAAGAAAAAGACGATTTAGATTTGTCAACGCTGTGAATGAGAAAACAATTGTTGAAAGTATAACCCTCGATTTACCCATGTAGCTTATGTTTGTTTCATCCCTTAAATACTATAGCCTACCATTTTGTAACCACGGACTATGCAATTGAATGATATGTAGCCTACTGTACGACCACTCTCATTATGGAAAACCTTGGTGTATATTAAAAACAAAATCAACAATAACTTTATTTGTGTTGCCATATAAATTACAGCATATCCATGCGGCTAACAAGAACAAACAGCGGAGCAGGTGCTTATTTATTTTTCTGATAATGAACTGGCAAGGATAAATGAAACACTATTAAAACCACAAAAGATTGTAGGATTCTGATATAACAAAGGATCCATTCGGTTGATTTACTGTTAAGATAACAGCTGAAAGACATGACTGTGATTCTGATAGAACCTGTAAATTTAACAAAATTGCCTGCAATATAGTCTAAAAAACCTCAGCCAACTTTCACTGTAATTAGGTTTTAAGTAAATTGCACTGTGATCATGCATACTATTTCAAAAAAAATTACTGTATTATTGTTCAGAGAATGTTCCCCATTGTTTCAATTTGACTTAGTCTCACCAGGCTCGGTGGGTCCACAAAAAGATTTGTTGAATTGCATAATGGAAAGGATCCAGTGATTTTGGAGCTTAACCTATTAAATTAAGCGAATCGTTTTTTATCATATTATCACTAAAAGCAAGTTAGGCAAGAAGGACTGGACAATATTGCATAGTTGCAGGAACGGTGGTGCTTAGTTATGGATTAATAACACAACCAAAGCTTTTAACCCAGGTGTGCGTCCGTAGGTTGGCATGGACCCACCATGGCCATGCCAGGCGCACGTTTAATATCTAATTTTATGGTGGAACTATGGTTGTAAAAGTATGCATTACAAACTCTGACATCTTACCACATTGCTGCCGACGTTTGTTTTGTGTAACGTTACATGTAGAAGTACGTTTTCAAGCGGTCCATCCATGACACCGCCTCTTGTCTGTCAGACAGCGTCGAGGGCTGAATCGCCCTGTAGGGGGAAAATAAAACGAAGTTACGCTAGTAGCTTGTAGCCTAGCTATGGAACCCTGCTACAGACAAACCTAGCTGGCTCACACTTAGCGTATACACTTAATTGGATACAAGCTAATTTACTAGAGATGGCAAACATAACTGGATCCAATGGTAAGCTCATGTGTGCATCAATAAGAGTTTAATAACGTTTGCTATGCTGAATGCTTTAGCTTGTTGCTAAGCTAGTTTGCTAACCTGCTGTCTTGGCTCCGTTGTGTAGCTAGTCGGCTAGTTAGCTGCTTCTATGCAAGCTAAGGCTAAAAGCAAAACAACATGAATGTAGTTCTGCCTATTATGGAGTTGTTACTTGCTTGACATGCATAGTAGACTGCAATACATGTATATGTGATCATACATGCGTGTGTTAATGTATGCCTTGGTACGAAATAGTAGCTGCATGGACGAAGACCAGCATATCTATAACGTTTACCTTGCTATTTAGAGCTAACGTTAGCATAGCGGACGTAACCCATGTGCTAAACTGTTATTATTAATATTCAGAACAGCCATTTATTATGCTGACAAAAGTTCCTTTACCCTTGTAAATCGGAAAAATATATATAAATCCAACTCTATGTGTTTCTGCAGGTCTATGATACTGTGCAGCCATGGGTGACATGAAAACCCCAGATTTTGATGATCTCCTGGCTGCCTTTGACATCCCAGATGCCACAGGGTTGGACGCTAAAGAGCCCATCCAGGGGAGTCATGAAGAAACAGAGAGTCAGCTGAAAGACACAGAATTATGCCAGGATGACAATTTTCTGGGTAACCAAGCTGTCGCAATAGCAGATATTCCTGTTGTTAGTGTTATTGTGAAAAACACAAGTCGTCAGGAGTCGTTGGAAGGATTTGAACCATCATTGCAAAATGGATTCAGGGGACAAGAGGCCGCCATAAACTTTCTTGAGACAACCAATGCTGGCTTTTCCAAATCATTTGTCTCTGCTTTGAATGGGGAAATTTCAAGAGAGCTTCTTGGAAAGGCACCTGTTCAACACAAACCTGATGGAACACCAATATTTTCCCAGTCACTTTGTAATTTTAGTCCTATCTCCAGTCCTGAGTCTGAAGACACTCAGTGCAGTAAAAATGAAATGCATCCAAAACAAGACAGACCCTGTTTTCCAGAAGCCTCAGTTCTGGTGGAACCTTCGATCCGGTCTCCAGGGGTCAACAATCAACAAAAGCCGGACCTAAGTTTGTTTGATGAAAGTCTAAAGGACTACGATATTGGCAAAAACACACAGAGTAGCAGAGAGGAAGGTAGTAGAACGGAGAAGTCCGCTGATATTTGTTTCAGTAACCAAACAGATAAAACAAACAAATTACACAGTACACTTCCCCCACCAAGTGGTGACCAGAACATCACAGAAACCAACTGCAGTCCAGGATCCACAACGGATGTTCCCACTTCTTTTCCACATGTCAAATCTCAGACACCCAAGTTATCCTCTTGCCTTGAGGCCCTGGTGGCTCTAAACAGTAGAAAAGATCCTAGTGAGCAGAATAACCCCAGAGAGTCATCAGCAATTCAGAATGACGTCATGAAAGCAAACCCCACTGTGCTTATAACCCCACAAAGTCCACTTGAAGCTGTGAAACGGTTAATGAAACCCTCTGATAGTCCTGTAAGCATCTGCAGTGACAGTAGTGGTAAAGCATCCCCTGCAGTGGCAACTGGGTCCCCCCCTGCCATACCAAGGGTCAGAATTAAAACCATTAAAACTACATCCGGGCAGATCAAGCGCACAGTCACTAGTGTGGTGTCTGATTCAGAAACAGATGAAGTTCATTCAGCATATGAATCCTCTCCATCACATAGTATGATAAGTGAAGATTCTTTCTGTAATATGTCTCCTCATCAATCTCAAGGTGCGTCTATTGATAGTGTTGTAGGTGTGCAAACTAAAGGTACCCCAGCTAGTACATCTGCACCAAAGGTTTTACGCAACAAGCCAGAGGTTAACTCCAGGAAGTCGGGCGTAACACAGCGTGCAACCGTTTTCCATAATACTAGTGGTCCTGTCAAACGACCTGCTGCACACCAGGGGCCGAAAACAAAGAGAGGAGCAGCCACAACGGGCCCTACAGCAACTACCAACTTCCTTCCCAAAGCAATGCACTTGGCTAGCCTGAACCTTGTCCCTCACAGTGTTGCTGCTTCTGTAGCTGCACGGTCCACCTCTCATCAACAAAGCCAACCCACACTCTCTCCTACGGTGTACAGCACTGTGCCTCTGGTGCATCAGATCAAATCAGCCAACTCTTATCCTCGCACATCTGCTCCCAACACAGCTGCAGGAACCTTAAACAGACTGTTGAACAATGCCAACCCTGTGCCTACATATGTTCCCAACCTGAACCCCCCTCCAGAGAGCAATATCACCCTTCCACCTCGGGGATACTGCTGCCTTGAGTGCGGAGACTCCTTCGTGGTGGAGAGGAGCCTTGCGTATCATTACAGCAGGAGGAGTGTTCACATTGAAGTAGGATGTACTCACTGTGCAAAGACAATAGTGTTCTTCAACAAGTGTGCCCTGTTGGCACATGCACGGGAACACAAGAACAATGGCACGGTGATGCAGTGCACGCAGCTCCATATGAAACCCATCGCAGAGGAACACATGTTTGTACCCCTGAGTGCTGTGAATGTGGACTCTTACACTTTACCCTCCCCTAAAAGCCAACCTGTCCTGCCCCTATACCAAGACAATGTTATTCGCCACAGACTCCGTTGCCTGGAGTGTAACAAGCAGTATTCTGACTACAAAGCACTAGCTGGCCATTACCAGAGGCCTTCTGAGGACGTGGAAGGACTCGTAAGTGAATGCGTTCTTAAATTATTAAAGAATATTTTTGTTATTCGAAAGAAATCTGTGACACTCAACCCAAGCCCATTATATCGTACTGAACCTTGATAATATTAGTCTTGGGTCTTGTTGTTGACAAAAGAAAAATATAGAATATCACCAGACTTTTATTTTTCATGGCACTTTTGCTAGTATTTATGTATTTTCCAATGTTTTCATAACTCTTTGACTTTTGTTTTTTTTCAGACGTGTAAGGTGTGCTCAATGTTGTTACCCAACAAGTGCAGCTTCAGAGCTCACCAACGCATTCACGCTCACAAATCGCCTTACTGCTGTCCTGAATGTGGTGCCCTGAGTCGTTCTGCAGACATACAGAAACATGTCAAGGAGAACTGTCTGCACTACGCCCGCAAGGCTTGGTACAAGTAAGTAAGAAAGCATAAAATGCACGCCTTCTAACATACTTTGAAGTGGTACACAAAAGTTGCATCATGTTTCTTCTTCCTTCAGATGTCTTCACTGCGATATGGTTTTCAAGACCATTCAAGGACAAAAGACTCACATTGAGGAGAAACACTGTGACGTCTTTTACAAATGCTCAATCTGTCCAGTTGCCTTCAAGACGTCTGACGGCTGTGAAGTGCATTTAAAAAATAAACACAGTGCAAGCAAAATATCCCCTGTGTAAGTCAAAACCTTATCACCTGACAATTAAAAGTTGTAAATCTCTTTCATCTGGTCATTTTAACCGTTTCCCCCCCTTCATTGCAGGTTAATTTTTAAGTGTTCATGTGAGACGGTCTTCAAGAAAAAGCAGTTACTATTACAGCATTTCCATCAAAATGCCAACAAGCGTGTTACGTGTGTCTTCAAGTGTCCAGAATGCAACTCGGTCTTTCCACAAAAGCAGCTGTTAATGCAGCATTTCAAGGTTAGCCCGGATTGTATTTCTTATTGAGAGTGTTGGGAATTTATACATGTTTCTATGTAATAGGGTACTTAAATGAAACTGGCTACTCTTACTTCTACTCTTCTGAGTTGTTTGTTGAAACTGTGACGTCCAACCTGAGCCTTTGGAAGACTTGTTAAACTTGCCTAACTTGTGTTGTGCAATGTTAGATTTTTATCTAGATTTTTATCTACAAAGCCGTGCAAACGATGCAGAAAAATCAGCATTGTTAAACTGTCAAATGTGTGTTCTTACATGCTGGCAAAAGAGAAGTCAAATGTTGAGTCAATGTTAGGACAGGAAATAGTAGTATTTTGCTATAATTTAAAATCTCTTGTGTTTTCTTTGTCTTGCAGGGTGTTCATGTAGGAAACATGACAGAAGAGACAGAGAAGATCAGTAAAAAAACAGACAATCCTGACTGGTCCCAGGATGATCATTCAGTACAAGAAAAGAAAAGTCACAATCCTGTTAAACACACAGACAGTCCCAGAAAAAAACCCGAGCAGGACAGGAAAGCTCGTGTGAAGCCCACCGGCTGGACGTGTGGCGAGTGCCTGAAGTGGTTCCCTGAACGAGAGTCCTATGTTTCCCACGTGAAGACCAACCACAGAAAGGTGAGGTCAGGTTCCCCTGTGCTGGAAAGTAAAACCAACACAATAATGACTGCAGCATTCACTATACTATCATGATAAAACAGTCTGAACGTGGTGGCTAACTCAACTGCAACTTCAATTATCTTAAACTTCAACATAACACCGATTCGTCCAGATCCAACTACTGAAAATTGCAGCAATCAATGTAGTATTGAAAATGGATATTATAGCCCGAAGCTTTTGTGCTGTTTTTCTTGTATTGATGAAATAGAAGTGTTTTCTTAATGTCAAACAACCACTTACTTGTCGTAGTCCACCTGAAAATGATTTTACCATTAACCAGATCAATAGTTTGGGTGGTATTTGTCATTAGTCGACCTTATCTAAAACACCTTGGCAAACGGCTGTCCAGTGACATGAGGAAATGTTTGAGAGGACAGTGAGCCGTGTATCTGAGGTCAAAGTGCGTGTTGATTAAATGAACTGAAGCTTCTTGGCATGGGACAAGCTGCTGACGTCTTGATTCTTGTGTTAACTTAATTTGTTTCCTGTTTGTAATTCTAAGCTACATGACATCATGTTTATAATTGGTTACATTTGCCACAAACCATAAAGGAATTACCTCCTAACTTGTGTGTGGATTATAAACTTTAAACACGTTCATAATTACATTCATTATAAAAGAAACATTTGCTTTTATAAGTCAACTTTGTATGATCACATCTGCTAACCCTAACCCTTTTGGATTTTCCATGTTTTTCCCCCCCAACAGTCAGTAAAGAAGTATCCATGTCGTCATTGTGAGCAGTCTTTCAACTCTGCAATCAGTTTGAGAAGACATATTCGCAATGACCATGATGGGAAAAAGAAAAAGATTTACACCTGCTGGTAAGATTTTGTATCTTTTGAAAATGAACAAAACACAGCCCCAGAGTGATTATCAAATGTCCCTGTAAATCATTCAAATCCACTTTTTATCTTTTTCTTTTAGGTATTGCACGGATACCAAGACAACATTCACGACGAGTTTGATGTTGAAGAACCACATCAGTCTAATGCATGGAATAAAAAATCCTGATCTTGGCCAAATGCCGAAAGCAGCTGTCCAGGAATCAAAAAAGGCTTTGCGCAAGGTAGCTATTCAATTGTATTTATGTATCAAACCAATAACAGCTCTAATGGAGACAAATGTTCATAAAGGGTGTGGCTTCTGTGATTTTCAGGGGCTTGTATCAGATAAACCTGCGGTGGACTCCTGGGAGGAGGGACAGGATCGCACTTTGAGTCCAGAGGCTCCTCCAGCTAAACGTCAGAAAACTCAGTTCCGCTGTTCAAAATGTGGCTTCCTCACAGAAAGCAGTACACAGTTCAAGCAGCACATACCACAGCATAAGACTGATGAAAGCACTCCTCAGTGCCTTCACTGTGGTTTGTGTTTCACATCTGTGCTGTCTCTCAACAGACATCTTTTCATTGTGCACAAAGTCAAAGGTCCCAATGAAGGGAAGAAAGAAGGCGAGGAGGACGAGATGAAGGAGAAGGAGCAGGTTAATCGGCCAGTTAGCTCAGCAGATACTGAGGAGTTCAATGACTTGTTACTGGAGCTAATTGACCCTGAGCCGTCGCAGGCGGGAGAGACAGCGAGTCTGCACTGTGACAAGACCTCGGACTGTAGCGTAAAACTGAGCGCTCACTCTCAGACACAAGCAGTCTCTCTGCGTCAGTGAGACCTCTGAAGCTGCTTTTAATAAATTCAGTTTAATGTGACAGTCACATGGGTTACTCAATATTCTGCATGGACGTTTTTGAGCCTTTCTTTTTTTTTTCTCAATTTATTCACAGGCCGTTCGGTATATTTAAGCAGATCCTTAACATTGAATAAAAAGCAGTATTTTCATAAATAATAAGACAAATTCATGTTAAACTTTTGTATTATTTTGTATTTAACTTTGCATGTTGTTAATATATTCATCTTGCCTTTCAGACACAACTGCACACATATTACAGCTGACGCTTTGTTCATTTCCTCCAAATGTTGCATCCACCCTGAGAGGAGACTCAGGAATGTCTGTTAGTGTTTAGGTTTGGTATCGGTTTAATGTAACATTGAAGAGGTGGCTTATTGCTTTTGTAATCAATGTTTATTTTAATTGTAATTTTGTCTTGAGTATTTAATGCTACACACTATTGCCTGAATGGGATTCAGGTTGCAGTTTTTACGACATGACTGTTTTGCAATTCATTTTGCAGTACAAGGTTAGAAATGTATTTGCCATTTATTACAAAACAGTATATTTCTGTATTCATTTAAAAGCCGTATTTCCACATTTGTGTCGAACAGTCTCTTGTTAAACTATCCTGTGGTTAAATACAGGTGAGATGTTTTGCTAAGCAAGGCCTTCTGATGTTAGGCCACACATAGAACAACTTTGTATTTTCTATTTAAGCATTCTGAAATGCTTTTGTCTTTATGTTTATTGAACATATTGAACATTTATTTGAACATTGAACATTTATTTGTGGCTTCCCAGATCTGGCCTTTGTATTTTATTTAACATTTAAAAAATAATGTCTTTCTTTCTTTTTTCTGTATGGGGGGAATATGGAGAGGTATTGGATGTGTGGTGCAGCAGTATTGAAAATACCTCAAATTGCCAGAATTGTATTTTTGTCGGCAAGAGAACAGTCGATGTAATGTCAAATCAGGGTGCATGGTTTTGGATAATCCAGAGCAGGTGTGAAAGTGAAGTTTGGCGGCATATCAGAGATAGTGTTTTATATATCCATACTTGTTTGATCAGATAAAGATGTGGAATCTATTATGACTTCAAAACAGATATTTCTTAGATCAGTGCTTGTGGGAACGTCTTGTTCACATGTTCTGGTTTGTAAAGCAGCACCTCTTGTTTTGTATTGAATACGTGACAGTTCCTACCTCCATGTTAATGGCAGTGATTGTTAAACGATGAAAGACTTTTATCTCAGTGCAATGTAAAAATGTGTTTAGAAAATGTGTACTATCCCACATTATTCAATTTTATGAATTACTTTGGGAATGATATCGAAGCTATATGGTCATATTGACTTAACTGGCAAGAGAAGTTTTGTATTTATGTGCTGTGTAAGCTTTTCGTTTTTCTGTGATCTTAAATCATTTATTTACCGCACTGCAGCTGTTAAACTGCAGAGACGAAAAGGAATGTCTTGTTATTTTGTAATGCTTGTTGAAAGATATTTGTACTTTTGATACTTTGTACTGCAAGGACTTGTGTAAGAAAGTAAACTGTGCACACACGGTAGCCAATGAACCTTGGATTCAAAGCATTTCTTAAGCCATTACATCTACTCGGCATGCAGTGGCATATGTGCCTTTCTGTAACGTTTACTTCAAAGTACTTAAAAAATAAACCGGTGCATTTAATTATACATCTGCTCTATCTTTGGTCTGCGTTGAAGACTTGCTTCTGTGTTTTAAGTACTGGATGCTGGAGAGGAAAGTGTTTATTGGTATTTGGATGTGATAATTGGTGGTTTTGCATTAAGGTCACAGATTTTACAATCGTCAGAATGACACAAGATTCTCTAATGTGCATCATTCATCCAATAAGAAGCTGACCACAGCTTGATGACTTCATGCCATTAGAATATTAAGCCCATCCTATCTCAGTATAACTGCCTGGCTCCAAAGTAACAGGAGCAAGGAGATTTTAATTTACCCCGCACCAAATTGCAAAGCGCACATTTGAGCAATGACAGGCACTTTGAAAAAGGTCTGCAGAGCAGGATTCCTGTCTTCTTTCATTCTTATCTCATACATTGCAATGACATCTTCAATGACTCTTGATTTAACTGAGCTGAGAAATAGAATTTCAAAGATCAAGGTGGTTCCAAGAGGAAATCTGTGGGCAACAGGTAAGAGAAACAAAACACTTTTGCCATTATTTCATGTAATGTTTTTGACAGTTTATATTGACATTGAATTTTCTTTTAAGGGCATTTCATGGGCAAGAAAAGTGTTGTGGATAGTTCATTCATGAAGTCTGCGTTAGAAGATGTAAACGTTCCCACTGAAGTCAGAGCTGTTAGTCCTCTGTACCGAGTGGAAGACCTGCAGGCACTGCTCTTTCAGACACTGAAAAGTGACACACAACGGAAAAAGGCTTTGGACATGTAAGTGTTCTTGTGGTCCTTATTTTTAGTATTATTGCATACATTTATCAACTGCAAGACTGATTTTCTTTTTCTTTTTTCATCCATGTAGAGGAGGAGGGGATCATGCTTGAAGGACACTTCAACCAACATTATCATATAAAATCCTATTGATGAAGAGAATCGTTTTTGAAATCTTGTGTTTTGTTTTTGGTTTGAACATAAATATTAAAAAAATGTGATTTGTAAGATTGTACATGTACAGTTATTTGAACAAGTGATGTACATGTATTAGTGCCACAAATTAAAAACGACTGAAAACTAGACCATGTTGTTGAAATGTTTACTGAAATGCACCTTTGTATTGCAATATTAAAATTCTGTTTAATTGTATTGAAAAATTGTGTAATAAATGTGGTTATTAAATGTATATTAAACAAAACATGTTCACATGATAGTTCAAATATTTAAAATTGGTCAAATCAGTTTATTTGTATTAGCTGTGTGGCGCCCCCTGATGGTCACCCTATAAAACACAATTCCGGATGAGAATTAGTTTTTGTTTTTATTGTAACAAAAGATGTCCAACAATATAATACCAAGTAATACAATAAGTATACCTAATAATAGACATTATAGATTATTACATTACATTATTTTATAAATACATAAGATTAAATAGATAATGGTCTCTATTGATAGGTCTAAGACATCAATCACGTTCAGTAGTTTCTGGTTGTTTTTATTAATGCAGTATTTTTATCCTCCTGTAAAACTCAAAATGTAGTATAATTTCTGCTAAAATTGGACAGGAATCCTGTCAGAGAACAGGTGTTGTTTTGTCAATCGTTATTGAATATTCCAATTTCAAGACATAAGCACTTCCAAACAGTGTTCATATATAGATATAAAACTGGGCATTCTGAACAGAAAACCGAAAAAATAAAGATTATTAACCAACAAAAACAAAACACAAGTGGTCAATCAGGAACTATGGTACGTAAAAATAAACAGATGTTTGACTTCCGCTTGTCATCCGAAAGTATTGCTATTACATCCGGTTGAAATCCATACATGGTTCCCATCGTAGGCTAGGCTAATTTAACTGCTAACTCTCAGTAGTGATCATCACAGTCACAATGCCTCTGATAGTGATGTGTGGGTACCCCTGCAGTGGTAAAACACGAAGGGCAGAGGAGCTGAAGGTGTGTTTTGAGCAGAACACGGACAGAAAGGTGCACATTGTAGGTGACGCAGCACTGGGCGTAGAGAAAAACACAGTGTATGCAGGCAAGTTGAGCTCATGTTAGCTCCATTTAGCCATACTTTCTTATTACGTACCTGTTAGTCATGTTTAAAAGTCTTCATACATGTTCACTTTGACTATGCACAAAACAGGATATGTTTTCTGAAACGTGTTTATGTTTCGTCTACTGAGGAGTGTGTGTGTTGTTAACTGAGGGTTTGCCTAGCATTAAGTTAATCTTATTATACAAAAATATCATCACAGTCCTGTGACAGAGGCGCACATACGAGGATGGATATAATCGTTTTTTGTTAATTTACATACTTGTATTAACACTATCCCTTGGACACTTGTGTATAACATTACATTACTGCCACAACTAGTAAGTTGACTGTTAAAATAAAATGAGTCCCTGGTAAATGCATTAGCAAAGAAGTGCTCAGAAATGTACTGGTTTCCACTTGTTAAATGTCAGCAAGATAAGCAGCCAGCTTCTTCTTCCCTAAAACATAAAAAAGTGATGGATAACTTCGAATGTGCATGTTTACTTTCTTTTCTTTTTTATAATGAACAAGCAGTTAATTGATTATACCACATATCCATACAAATATGTGTTGGTTGCAAATAGCAAAAATTAGAGCACAACAAAAAAGGAATTCAAGAAAGTAACCTTGGACTTTGTCACACGCTGCTTTTAAACCTTTTATATGTTGCAGATTCCCAAAAGGAGAAAAATGTCAGAGCATCTCTGAAAGCTGAAGTAGAGAGGTAGGTTTTTCAGATCTATCTTTTGTTTTTTGTCTTTTGTCTGTGAAGTTGTACCATTGCACACCTTTTAACCTTTATTTACATGTTGTTTAGGAAAGTCAACAAGGGAGACATTGTGATTTTGGATTCCCTAAATTACATAAAAGGTACATCTAGCTAACAGTAGTGTGCTTTACAGATTCAGTATCAATACATTATTATTTGTTTATGCTCTTACCTTTAAATCCGAAATACCTTACAGGCTATCGCTATGAACTGTTCTGTCTCATCAAACATGCACAGACACCACAATGCCTGGTAAGTATACTAAAGAAATAACTATTATTTTGTTCAAGTATCTATACATCTATGACTGAAACAGTAGTCACACAAATCAAAAATCACATGCTTTCTTTTGATCAAGGTATACTGTTTGACGTCAGATGAAGTGAGCACAACGTGGAATACCAACAGAGATGCTGCTGAGCAGTACACACAGGAAATGTAGGTGAAAAGCCCCACACATAGAGTACTATGCATTTCAGAAAGTAAAACCATTCATTGTTGTTTTTTTACATTTTGCCTGACATCTGCTGTTTCTTTTGTAGCTTTGATGCATTAGTGCTGAGATTTGAAGCTCCAGACTCCAGAAACCGATGGGACAGTCCTCTCTTCACCATCCTGAAAGACGACACGATTCCATTTGAAGACATTTCTGACGCACTTTTCAAAAGAAAAGCACCCCCACCAAACCAGTCCACACAGAGTGTAAGAGACACCCATGCTGTGTTCTCTTGTTTTTTATTTAAACATGTTTACAATATTTAATAGATGTCTGTCATGCTGCCTTTTTGACTATGATGCTCATAGAGATATTATTTTTCTCTGCAGCAACCATTGTCATCTTCAAACTTCCTGTACGAGCTGGACAAAATCACACAAGAAGTCTTAATGGTACGTCTTTATGTGTTCTTTTGATTTCCTGTTCATTTGTTGTTTTTGCTGGTTCCACTCTGTCTTAAGAACTCTATCAAACTTTAGGATCACCAAAGTGGGACTCACACATTGAAAATAAAAATAAGAGACTGGAGTTATAGTCAGAAAAAATACTTGGTTAAACCTCAATTTAAGAAGCACAAAAAAAGTATTTCCAAATGTAATTCCCTGCAGTTGGGAAGATTTGTATCAATAAATCAGAATGTAAAGAAGTACTCTTTGGTAATTAATCCTGAAAATGTCAGGTCGGGTACTTGATTTTTCAGCATTTTTAACATTTCTGTTATCACAAGCAGAAATATAGGGAAGTATAGGGAATTGGGAAGAAACCATTACTATTTTCTGAAGCTCATTGATTGACGTCAGAATCTCTGAATACGTGCAATCAGCAGTGTGTCCTCCGACGGTAAACGTGACATCAAGGTTACTTTGTTATTGGCAACTGTGCCTGTGTCCTCTTAAATACCTTTGCTCCTGTAATCATCTTCCTATTTATGTAATGGGGTGTGTCTGCAAACTACTGTTAGCCAAATCGAAATCATCTCCTCTGTTCCCTTGATTTTCCATTCAGTACACCCTTTTCACCATTTTGCAACATGCCTGTAAATGAAATGAATTATAAAAACTTTTCATCACTCCATTTAAATATTCTGATCCTTTATTGCTGATCTAAAACTCCCTAAATACCCAACTAGCTGAATTTGTAAAACCCTTACTTTCTGTTTGTAATGTCTGTGATGAAAGTCATTTTGAAATTTCAGGCAATTTGTAACGCACAGAAGACAAGTGTCCCCGGGGACCTCGTTCCAGTTCCAGGAGCTACAGAAAAGATATCCTTTTGATGGACTGCGCATTATCAGGTCTTTTCAACCCCTGAAAGCACTTTTACAGACTACGAGTCATTCACCCATTCACACCTCATTCATGCAGAGCAGTACCACTTGCTCTAGGGAAGCTAACATTCATACCCATTCAGACACCGTTGGCCATGCCATCGGGAACAACTTAGGGTTTCCTTGCCCAAGGAAACATCTACATGTCGACTGCACGGGCTGGGATCGAACCCACAACCTTCTGGTTGAAAGACGACTGCACTCTCTTACAACCACAGTCACCTTAACACACATTTACATGTCATGTCAATCCTTTTAACTCATTTACGTAGGATGTTGCAGTGATCTTTCACAGCCATGACTGTCTGAAATGTGTATATGTGACTCCTTTAATGATCTGCCTCCTAAGGAATCACATTTCATCACCAGCAGGAGGCAAAATACTTGTTTGAAGGAGAAGGTGGATCAATGTATGTCCATCAAACAACCTTAAATGAAAGGCACAGCAGGCAATCACTGTTAAAGGTCTCGCCTGTAATAACACATACTGGGATATGTATTTGGGGGGGGGGGGCAGGGGGTGAAACTAAATGGCATGTATTAGTGGATGTTTATTGGCAGCTGCTCTGTGTCAGACCTTTTACAGAAGCAAACACTGATTTTGTCCTTTTTTAAACGTATTGGTCAAGGCAGAAAGGAACTTAAAAGTAAATGAGGTGATGCTCTGGTCAACTTGTTTTGACAGGTGCATTATTTGTGTTGACGTCAGTGACATTCAATAGTTTATGTTCCTTCAATGTTTTCTTCTGAAGCTTTTGGTCACTTGGTACATTTTTATGTCAACTTGTATTCAAATGTCCTTGACCTAAAGTTTAACATCGAGCTCACCAGGAGCATCAACATGGCAGAGCTGAGGAAATTACGGCGGCAGTTCATCAGCTACACCAAGATGCACCCGACAGAGAACAGCAGGCACATTTCCAACATGTTTGTGCAGTATTTAAATAAGAGTCTTCACTGACATTTGTATACCATTGGCCTCTTTTTTTCATTTTCTGGGACAAATAAATATATTTTATAATATTCTCTGCATGTTTGTGTGATGTTGTGCAATGATTCAGTCGAGTTATATTTATGAGCTTAAGTGCCAAATTGACTCCTTATGCATTTTTGTAATATTCCAATTAGTTTACATTTGAATCCCATTTTTATTTTTGTAATGAATTCCACATTTAAGTCCAAAATGTGCTCCTCCTTTACAAGCAAGTGTTTCTGTACTTGACCTCTTGGTGACAAGCTCAACAACAAGTATTAGTCTACTTGGTTTTCTGGTTTTCAAAAGCTTCTTATTGCTGTCGGATTTGTAGCATAAGCTACTGTAAGTAGCCTACTGAGTAAAGCTCTTGGAAGAAATCCCACTCAATGATTGTGTATTATTATGTAAGAAGATTGTGATAAAAGTTAAAGGCGGGAAATGATAGGAAAGCTTTTTTCCAAGTATGTAAATAATATAAGAGTTCAGTCCAACAACAATATTAACAAAAGTGCGAGATTATAAGATATTGATTTTATTGAAAGAAATGCCATAAAAAATAAACTTTTAAAACGAAGTTTATCTCACATTGCCAAACATGAAGCAGCAAGCGCTGTAAAATATATAGTAATTAAAAATATAAAAATGATTTTGGAATGATACAGTTACACTTAACATGCATTAGTTACAGAACTTTCAGAGTTTTTTTCTCCAAAGCAACAGCGGTGCCAAAGAGTCTGTCCCAGTGGCTGAAGAAAGGAGCGTAGTTGCTGTTCGGCTTCTGGTGGTGCATGTCGTGAGCCGGTGCCCCCCCCAGCAGACCAAAAGGCACGAGGTGGTTGAGACTCCATGGCAGGTCATAGCCTATGTGGTCCTCCACAGACATCCAGATACTGAAAACTGTGACACACCATGCGGTCAATGGGTGGCATTTCAGAATAAGGGGGTCCTGGTTGCTCCAGAGTCCGACAGTCATCAGTTCTGAGGGGCTAAGGTGCTCAGTGGACCACGAGAAAGGTGCCATGTATTCATGGTGGACTGAATGAATCCACCTGTAAAGCTGGGGATGCTTGTGATGTACGAAATGCCAAATGTAGTACTGTGTGTCAAAAAGGAGAAGTATTGCCAGTCCGTCAATGAATACCTCATACAGGGTAGGAGCATCCTGGGGCAGTATTGGTGTAGGCAGTATGCACATGGTCATTATTACAGCTGGCAGAACAAAGAATATGTGGTTATAAAGCGCTGTCATTAAGCTCTTGAGCATCATTCCCACTGTTGGCTGCCTGTCTGCTTGGATCTTGTACTGATGGAACAAAGGCACTCTTTCTCCCAAGATGTCCAGTGCAGCAAAAGGTATGCTGCAGATGAAATAGCAGGAGGCGGCGAGCAGGACAGGGAAAAATGGAGAAGAGATGAGAGGCAGATGTCGGAAAAGCAAATAATTCCAGAGTGGCTGCAGAACACGGTCGCCCTGATGGGGCTGGAGCAGCATCTCACTGATGTTCAACATCTCGCTGTGGTACCACTGAAGGCAGCTGAGGCCAGGCTCAGGATCAACAGAGTTATTACCATTTTTATAGTGAAGGTCAATGGACCTTGGAATGCTCAGTTTAAAGCATACCAGTAGGCTTCGCCCCCCCTATCAGCTCAATATCAACAGACCTTCACTAGAAGATTAACAAAAGCTGGGACGCATGGAAGGAAGGAGGGCAAATTGTGAAAAAGTGAAATTGGACCCAATACTTTTGTTTCTAATCTGATTTGCAGAATTGGCTCGTTTGGTTTTACAGACATTTCTCAGCATTTTAACAATGAAATGACAGAACAACTGCTTATTTAAAGTGTTGGTAAACACAGGTAATGGTGTGTGTCAACACTAAGGAAAGCTTAGCTTAGCACGTAACTCCTTGATAAGCTCATGCATATTATCATGCATGATTTGAATACAAACTCACAAGTCCATGTAGACGAAAAAATAAGAACACTTCTCACAACCACACTGAATGATCATCAACATGATTTATTGGGGACAATTCACAACCATTTCATTGAAATCATGCATGTTATAATGTATTTTCACAAATCAATGCGGAAATGCTCTTCTTCACAACTACTTCTTCACACTGACAGCTTTCCTTGAAATCGTTTTGTTGGTGTTGGCATATTTATGTCGATCATTTCTGAAAAGAAGAAAAAAGACTAAATTAAACCACTGAAATAAACACTCTTTTTGAACAGTTAAAACTACTGCTACCGTTGTGTTTTCAGTAATAATAACAATATTGAGAAATGTGGACCTTAGTGTTGTTAGATACATTTACCTGCTCATTTTAACTTTGCTTCTGCAGCCCAGTCCCCCCTCCCAGTGGCTGGTGCGTGTGCCTCTCGTCATCATGCTTCCACAGCTGCTGCACGGCTTTCCATTGCCGTACGGCTACAACAGACAAATGATGTCAAATGAAATGAAATTCAGAGCCTTATGCATTCATGTTTTCAGACACTGACTGTTATTCTCCTTTCTAGTGATGCCTTGAAGGTTGGTGACCTAGGATATTAGACTGGGCTGTTTTCTTGTCAGCTAACTGAGTCTAGCAGTATAAACTATTTCAGTAATTTCCCTCTGCAAAAATAAAGTCTTAGTATCTCAGTGGTTACAGGTCACCTGTTCTTTGGCACAGTAGCCACAGATCATTCTGGTGGCTAGTTCCATAGGGTGGTCCTGGTCCTCATTATGGCAACCATCACAGGGGTAAGCCCGTCCGCAGCATGGAAACCTGAGTGCACAGTCAGGGGCACAAAGCTTTCAACATACTATGCATTTTCTTTTAGAGCTTTGATGTGAAATGAGATGGGACACAGTTAGGATGATACCTTAGCCAGCGATGGCTCTGTTTGTAATGTTTGCATGATCCTTTTTCTGGCAGCGGCTTCCCTTTCTGCACAGCAGGATCTCTTATCGTCTTATTATAAACAGGACCAGAACTCAAACCTACACAAAGGGAATAAATAAACATTATATTTTCATTGGTGGTCTGCAAGTATACGATATTACATATGTATAAAGCTCAGATTTAAAGGTTTGCTGTTATCTGGCACAACATTACGAAATATTTGAAAGAGAGCCAACAGCTGATCCCTTTACTAGTGCAGGGGAGCACTGACCTGTTTTGTTGGTGCGTGGCTGGATATACTGGAATCTTGTGCTCTCTGCCAGAATACTGAGTTTACTGTGGCAGTGTTCACAATTGGACTCCTTTGTTTGACCATAGCATACATTCTGATGGAATGGAAAAACAAAAAAGCCATTTCAGAGAAGTCATAGCTTATCAAGACATTTTTCAAAAATGGTGCTTGTATGTTCCGTCACCTGCACAGGGCTCTCCTGGGAGCAGCTGAGGCATCCCACTATGAGATCACAGTCCTGTAGCACAAGGTCAACAGGCGCAGCATTGTGGAGGTCCAGGTACCCCAGGACATCGCTGTAATGGTGCAGCATGCAGGGCCTGAATGCAGCATTGATGCTAGCACTGCACTTTTCACACTGAGCAGTGCAGGGGTTCCTTCCAGTCAGGGTCAGGTCTGCAGTTACCTTACACCTGCAGACAACACACAAACAGTCAAGATTTCAAGATTCAATTCAATTCAACAGTGTAGATGTCAATGACAATCTTAGGTCACAGGCTCCTCCAACGGTGCAACGTAATAAAACAGACAAAATAGTGAAAATAGTGCAAGTAATACAAATAAAATAGAATAAAAATAGTGCAAGGAGAGTCTAAGTAATTTGAATATTATATATTAGATATATATAATTTGTAAGTTGCAGACGGATGAATGTGAACTTTCAAAAGTTCAGGTGTTTAACAGTTATCAGCTATCAATTGTGTGTTATTCTCATTAAAAGGTTTGTAATATGGATGTGACATTCAGCTCTTTGTTCTTGCCTGTTACATTGAAGACAAACGGTGATTTGATCGGCCACTACGGTGGCTGTGTTCTCGCCCAGCATCAGTCCCAGCAGTTTCACCTCGGTGCCTCTGCGGGGATCACTGATCTTAATGTTCTCCACCAGGCGCCCGGCTTCCTCTTCCTCCTGCTGCTGCCCTCTATCACAACCTGAGTCATCCTGCTGACCCATTATTCCTCCCTCCTCAGTTTTCTCCCCCTCTGTGTATTCCAGCTTTCCTTCATCACTGACATCCTCATCTGCAGCAGCGGTGTCAGATGAATCGTTCCCAGATCTTTCACACACTGTTGCCTGGAGCTCCTGGTACGATATGAACTGCAATCCAGCTTTTTCTAAATCAACGTCTTTCTTCAACTGCCAAAACATTCAAGAAAATGCATTAAATGAAGGAAATAGTTATCTACAGGTTCTTTGGGTACATTTAAAAGGGAAAACACAAAATGTCCAATCTCCCGTTAATGCTGGTCTCACCTGCCGGGCTCCCTCAGTGAACAATCTCTCCAAACTACGATCCAGCCAGCGAAGAAAAGGCCGGAAGAGCAGCTCTACCTTTCCCATCAGCTGGTTGGTTGCATGCTTAGCTTGAAGCCACTGCAGTGATGCTTGCTGTACATGCCTATGTAGACAGGTATGTGTGTACATGTCAACACCAATCACTCTGTATGTTAAATATTCAAACAAACTGTACTTGCTGTACCTTGACATGATTGGGGGCAGCTCTTGATCCAACGGTATGTCCAATGTGAAAATCTAAAAGAATGGATCAACGTGATGAGGAAGTGTTCTTTTCATGTCAACCATTTACAGTATAGTATACAGTATTACAAAGTCTGTAAAAAGGTCCTTACCTCCTGGGGGTAACTTTCCGGGAAGCTGACCATGATGTCGACTGCTTTCAGATCAAAAGGCTATAAATTAAACAAAGAGTTAATACAATAAAGAATACTGTTTTTCATTTCTTTCATTTATGTATTTAATGTTTAACGTGTTATGGTTGTCAGTGGCTAAGAAACACCATAAGATAATTGTGGAAAAGCAAATATATCTTTCTAAATTATTTATTTTGAAATTAGTCCAAATAGTTTAATCAGAGATTAACTGAATAGGCTTAATTCAATCTCATTTGTGCAGTTTAATTTATATAAATCACAAGCCGTTCAGTACGTATTACAAATTACACTTGTTTTGTTCAACTAATTAAAACTGAGCTGTATGTATTATAGAAGTAAAGTGCACGTGGGGTTTTTGCTCTAAGATTTCAGGGGAGAGAGGAGAAAGTAGGTGAAAAAGAAAGCTTACCCAGTCTGGATCAGTGGCCTCTACAGTCGCCCTGTAATAGGTAAGCATGCCATCACTTCGTTCCTGAATAATCAGCTGTTCTTTGGGAAATCGCTTCTTTAACTGATTGATCTCTGTGTCTCGTAGCTGCTTGGTCACATCCTCTGTAAGGTCACAAAGCTTGACCTCCTGGAGAATGCCTGGACGGGGTACGGGTGGCATCCTCTGCGCAGGTCTTGGGTAATTACCAGAAACAGGCTGGTCATCCTCTTGAGGAAACTGTGGAGGATGCCAGAAGCGACACCTGTCTTCCATGCTGCAGTGGCCTGAGATAAAGTAGCGACAGGGACGGCGGACAGAGGCCGGACCAACCCTGGAGTTACTATTCGGAGCAGGCCTCTGCCCCAAATGTCCTCCAGGGACGTCTGAGTTTAGAGAGGTGACATCTGACTGGCTGGGTGTCCTGATGGTTTTCTTCTCATGAGCTTTGACATCATCTCTTATATGTTGGAATCTGCATTTCTTCCCATAATTGCATTGTCTTCCTTGAGAAAAGAAGCGACAGATCGGCTGTGTATTAAGCGCAGGCGCTGAATCACCCAAATATTCCTCACCGTTCTCATTCATTGTTATCACCTGTGAATAGCATAAACACAGATTATCACATATATCTACTTCTTTACATGTAAACACTATATATATAAATACATGTTATGGATTTGGATTTGGAGTCACTCGGTCTTAACATAATGGAAGTAATAGGAAAGAATGTGAAACTTTCCAAAGAAAATTTGAATGTTCCTTAACATATTTGTACTTGCAGAATCCTTATATCAATCAAATCCAAGAAAAAGAGCCATGTTGTACTTGTCGAGTGTAGTATAACAATGCTGGAGTCATGACATAACATGATTCAAAAGCAAAACAATTGTTAATAATAATAACAAATATATATAAAATAATTTCTTCACATTAATTATATATATATAATTAATAAATATATATATTTAAAATCAAGACACATTTGTCCAGTGTAGTTATACAATGTATCTATCATCACTAATCAAAATTAGGTGTGCCATAAGATAATTTTCACTAATATGGTAAAGTAATCATGGAGGTATTTAAGATCAAATTAAAGTGTAATTCAAACCAAATCTCTAAGGGAATTATGTATAATATAAATCTAGAATCGCCGGATAGGCTACGTTTTAAATTGGGTTCAAGTAGCCTACTCTCATAACAACATAGTAGGATTTAGGCATTCTCCTTTATTGTTTAAAATAGCTTAGCTAGCTAAGGTAAAATTACTTTAAATACACAAGAGGATCTGCGTTTACGTTTATTCAGTTAAATAATAAGACCAAGGGTTAAAGAAATACCGTTTTAAAGTCGCCTTACCTGCTAACTGTCAAGTGATTACACATTCAAGTGATACAGGAAGTTGTATACGTATTTACGTCATGGATGTGTAAAGAGAAAGTGCGACAAAAATGACTCCGAATCGATTGGGGAAACAATTTTCTGCTCGTAGCTCGTTTATATAGAAAAGTATATGAGATATATGTTTACAAGCTCCCCGGAAATGTCCTCTTTTAAAAAGCGCATATGCATTTGTTTTGTCGCCCTCTACAGTTTGGGAATGTACATTTAAGTGGGTGAATTTTGAACAGGGTTAAAGTTCATTTTTGGCACAGCTGCTGAGTCACCAGCATTTAGACTTTGGACTAAGACAACTATATTATTCCCTCAAGGGGGAATTTGTAGTAGGCCTACAGCATATTAAACAATATGACAAATTGTAGAAAAAAACAGACAGAATTACAAAGCAGAGACAACAGCATATAGCCCATGATGAACATCCATCAATATATAGAATGTATTTGGCAAATCTTTGAGATAACATGACATAATAAGATGTATCCAGGCAGAGTCCGGTTCGCTGTCAGCCTGGTCAGGTAAACCGGTGGCACAGATCAGACTGCCACACTCCCATGATTTTCCTACAGGTCTTGACAATTGTTCCTTTGGATCTATGTGAAGCAGACCGTTGAGCGGCCCAGACCAAGCAAGGAGGCAGAGGCAGAACGTCCAAAAATATAACCCGACGTGGGCATTTATTAAAATATGAACACATTACACACAGCCTCAATCCTGCTACTGCTGTTCACGTGAGCCCAGCCTGCAGCTACCAGGATCTCACACACACACACACCCACTCCCTAACAGACAGAGAAACAGAGCCTAAATACCCACACACACTAATCAGCAACTAGACACAGGTGAGGGGGGAGGAGACAACACAGGGCACCAGGTGCACACAATCCTTTAATAAATACTATCTCAATAATTAGTATTTAAAATGTGCAAATATGCCATACCAAACGGTACTGTGCAATCACGCTAATAAAGTGCAAAACTGTTCACTAAAGTGCTGAGTTACCAGGCCCGAAGCCGTCAGTTCACAGTGACGAAGTTACCTTCCTCACAATCTATTTAGCTGTTCTGGAGTTTTCAATCATCTTGCATGATCTTTATAGGAAATAGATTAATTTGCAGAGCACAAACCGACTTAAAACATAACTGGTTTAAAGGCTGAGGTGCAAAGTTCATTCTTGTGGAACACAATTACACCATAAAAGTTCTATAAGACATGTCTTTAAGCCGATTCATTCAAGGTCGTTTCATAACATGTATCTCCTATTTTTCATACATTGATATTAATATGTTTTTACATTTGACATTAAATATTGTCCAGATTGTATACTTGGTTTGCATAACATAGTTTTGCTGGTAAAATATGTAGTGCAATACATAGTACTTTTAACTGGACCAAACAAATAGGAACTACATACATTCTATATATTTTGATGCTCATTTTGTGTAATGTAATTATTCTGGTGATATTCAAAGTGTGATTTGTGTGTCTCTTTTCTGACCTTTCCTTTGTTTGTTCCAACTAAGTGTAATGTGATAATTCCAGTGTGTATTTGTGTAAAAGGATAAATAAACTCCACTTGAGCAGAGATTTGGCACTAAGAAAGATACAATTGGATTTTAATAATACTCCCCTTGCTGAAAAATGTATAATGTGGGGAGCTATACGTTACCAGTCACCCAGGGAGTATGAATAGTTTGTTGAAATGTTGCACCCGGTTGTCACTTGATAGCAGAGTCAAGCAGACACCGATGGGACAAAGTCTTTACCCATTGTCGCTGTTTCTGTCTGGAACATCGACATTCCTCAGACATTTATAGGATATTCACTTAGTGATTCCTACTTCAGGATGGACGTTGCAGACACCAGCGTAGATCTTTGGATAAGATGCCTAGGAAACGACTCTTTGCTTGTTTGTGACATCATGGGAGAAAGATGGGCCTGGGTCCAGCAATTCAAGATCCAACCTAGCCGTCGTCCTACAGCCTCTACACTGCTGCACTGTGCAGGGGTCACCTTGTACAACCATGTGTTTCTTGTGCTCCCAGCATCAGTGGCCCAGTGGACATGGAGGCCCCCTGTTGATCTGCCAGAACAGGCTCCCTCTAGCTAATTGCTGGGTTGATAAGCAACCTCCTGCTCACTTCCAATACTTCATCTGGCACCTGCTCCATCAGGATCCACTGGCTGTATGCAACTTTCCATGCAATCCATCATGAATACTCATCTCCCTTTGCTTTAGCCACTCAGTGCCTGGTGGCTGGGAGCTGGCCACAGTGGGCTTTTGGACCACTCTGAATCCTGTGATCCTGAGAAGCCACATGCTCACTACTTGGGACTTCATGGTTGTGCATGTCTACGTTTCGATTGAGGATCACTGTGGCTATGATTTCCCTTAGTCCACATCCCACCTTATACCGTTCGGTATATGTTGCACCTCACTTTAGTCACTGGGATAGGATATTTGGTACGCATGCTGATTTCAGCTTCTCTACTGCTATAAAGTAAACTGCTTTACTATTGGTAGCAGCTAGTGATAGAGACCTAAGCTTTCATATGTCTGTTTGTTTTTTTCAAACCATGTGGATGGTCAAATGTGAAGAATTGAGACTTTAAAATCTACATTTGACCTTGCAATGAAAAGGAGGCGTGTCACTGTATTGTATTTTGAAAAATCTTTATATAATCACTTGAACTATGTGCACAATATAGTGTCTAAACAGTCTGTGAACCTTCGTCTCATTTGTTTTACTTTCCTAAAACAGAAAAGCGTCTGCAATGTTTGTTTGTTTTTGGCAAAAGGGGCAGTATCTTTAGACTATTTCAATATTTTTAATTGTTCTTAAATCCGGTGGGGCTATTGATATTCAAGTTATATGTATATTTTTAAGTTATATTTATCAATGATTTATTCAAGTTGTATGTAAATCCAAACAATACCTACATACAGTCATGATATTTAGTGAGTAACTATTTTCCTTTTTGAACTATAAATCACCTTATGCCAATCCGCTGACACGCAAATCACATTTATTTTTGAATTCATGTAATCAGACCAGTGATCTAGTGGTGATACCATAGGGTGATACTGATGATACTGATACTTAAAATGTTTTATGTATAAGGGGAGGCGCAATGGATAGAGTTTTGGTGTTGGGATCAGGGGGTCACAGGTTCAAACAACTCCACTGCAGTCAGCATGTCGTTGTGTCCCTGGGCAAGACACTTCACCCCAAATTGCTCCTGTGGGGATTGCCCACAGTATTGAGTATGTAAGTCGCTTTGGATAAAAGCGTCTAACAAGTAACATGTAATAAGGGAAAGCAGGTGCAAGCAGGTTTCTCACACATTTGAGGAAATATTGAGCGATAACTCTTGGGTTATTGTTTGTTGGACCACATTCAAGCCATAGTACTTTACGTGAAAATCCATCTATGCTGAAAGGGCCACACCGAATGGCTTAAGTTTGTCATAACCGTCAGCATGCCACATATAGTTCGGTCCCATTGAGTGTTAGGTTCTCCTTATAAACCTTCTGCGAGATCTCCTCTCGCAGCCTCGAGGGTTAAGCTCCCGGAGCAAATTCATAACATCATCTCTCTTCACTCGAAGACTGTACTTTTGTTTTAGTACCTGCCACATTGTTCGGTATCCAAACAATTGTCCAGGTCCACGAAGTTCCAACCTGATGGCGTTAATTACAGCGATTTGAGAGGAATAACCCTTTCTTCGGTAAAACCCGGCTTGATTCAGTTTGCTTTTAAGAGTCCGCAAACTGATTTTTACACCGTGAAAGGTAGACAACATGTCCACGATTACAGCATACGAGTGACCTTCATTAAAATATTGCACGCAATGATGCAATATATCTGGTCCTTCTGTCTGGTCCTTGTCCTTTAAACACTCCAGAGATTGTCCACAAGATGAGCAAAAAGGTGTCACTTGTCCCAGGTTGTTTCTACAAAACGGACAAAACATGTTTACCGAACGTAAACACACTCCTACCTTCGGTCTTTCCGCCAAAACAAATTTGAGTCAATCACTATAACGTCACGTCGGGTATGATGGACATTCCCTTTCCGGTTTGTTTGTTTGATTGATTGATTGATTGATTGATTGAAAAGTTTATTAACAGCTTGTATATTGGGTACAGTACAGTACAGCTCAAAACATACAATTGTTAAGGGGATGCAGACCAGAGAATGACTTTCGTCTTGTTTACATCAGGGTCCCCCATTTCCAATTCATCATGTCATTTAAGACATATAAGACATATTTGACATACAGATGGCTTATTTACAATTGACATACAGGTGGTTTTTTTACATACAGATTGCTTATTTACAATTTTCATTTTAGATTTCGTTCTAATACATCCTAACCGGACATTTAAGACATACCAAGTCTACAGATATACAGTTAGTAACAGAGTCTAAAATGCGAGTATATACATAGATGGGGGGGGGAAGCTGTGCATTGAACGACTGGTTGAGATTTGTACCATTACCGGGGCCAGTTTTGCAATGCTCTCCCCCGAAGGTGCTCTTTAAGAAAGGTTTTGAAGGTAAGTATAGTTTTACTTTCCTTTACAGTTGTGGGAAGAGCGTTCCACCTTGATGTGGCATAATTGCGAAACGTGTATTCCCCCTTTTTTGTGCCAAATCTGGGTTTCACATGATTTGTGGAGCTCCCTCTGGTGTTATGATCATGGTATTCCTTGACCTTTGGGAATAATTTTGACATGTACATGGGTACCATGTACATGTAAATGTGTTTCGGGAAATGTTAAAGTGTTTCGGGACATTTTAATTTGTTTCAGTTATGGTAAAAGTGTTTCGCATTTTGTTAATTTGTTTTTGTTAATGTTAAATTGTTTTGTCCTTGGTAAAAGTGTTTTATAAAATGTAAATTTGTTTTTAGCTTTGTAAAAGTGTTTTGCATCTTGTTAATTGGTTTTCGTTAATGTTAAAGATTTTTTTCCTTGGTAAAAGTGTTTTTGCTAATGTAATTTTGTTTTATAAAATGTAAATTTCTCTCAAGCTTTGTTAAAGTGTTTCACACTTTGTAATTGTCCATTGCACTTCTCAGCCACCGTACGAATGGCACTATATGTTTCCACCACTAGATGTCAGAAGTGGTGGAAGTTCTCCAATTGCCAGTTCAAAGGGTTAGTTAATTTTTACTTTAATAGTTCTCAATAGTATTATATCAATGGCAACAAGTTGATAAGACGAAACTACTGTACATGATTTTTTCCCTTTATTTATTCAAGAACATAATAAACATTATACATTGTGTATACAAATAATACATACATATAATAAACAAATAAAAACAAAAAATACATACATTTTCACAATTAAAATGTAATATTTGTTAAATACACAATTCGTTTTGATTTCAAAAGGTTTTTGATAGTGCTAAGATTGTTTTAATTCTTGGTCAAATTGTTCAAAATTTGGTTTGGAGTTAGCTCATTTCTTTTTATGAACAAGACATTTCCCCAAATTGCTTTTGTGTTTGTATTGTTGGCACCATAGATTGTATAATGGCACTCATGGATGTATAAAGAGAGCGGTGGCACTGTCTGCGTCTCCGCGCCGGCGCAGGCCGATCCAGTGATACAGCGCTGGAATGAGCAGTGCAGCTGCCCGGGACATGTCAGAGTAGAAACCTGCGGTCAGACTCATTTCCAACACGTACTGCTTTCAACCCCCATGCTGAAGATGGGACAGTGCGGCATTACCTCGTCAAAGACCGTCCTGGTCTTTCTCAACCTGATATTTTGGGTGAGTTTGGAGGTTTAATGACGTGGAGGTTTTTTAAACGTGCGTCACTCGCTAGCTGTGTGCGACAATGCTAGCTGTTTGTAGCTATGGTAGCATATGTGTGAGTGCAGTCAGCTGTTGTGCTAGCTGAGGCAGCACACCTTTGTTTATCCAAGGAGGGATTAGTTTGAGAAAGTTATGGGAAAGACTTACGATTTTTAAGGTTTAATGATTTAAGTCAATGTTAATTGGAGCACCTTTCACTACGTTTTACAGTTAGTAAATGTAATGTTTGTGCTTAATACACATTTGTAAAAGTGCTCCAGGCTACTCTAGGATACTTTACTTGAGTATTTCCATTTTAGGATACTTACTCAACTCCTCTACATTTTGGATGCAATAATGTAGGCTACTATGTTTATTTGAAATGTTTAGTTGTGTTTCTTTCTTTTGTCTTCTCTCTAACTATTGTATCTTAATGTTGATGTAAAGCACTTTGAATTGCCTCTGTGTCTGAACATGTGCTATATAAATAAACGTACCTTACCATAGTAACTTTGCATATTTCAATTATGAATACAACATGTAGATGTTGCAGCATTTTTAAGTGGAACTCATTTTAAATAAATCCCTCTTGAAAAATCATATGCAAATGTTTTGCATAAAGTGGAAATATTCAAGTAAAGTACAAGTACCTAAAGTCTGTACTCGGGTAGTGTACTAGGTTACTTTCTACCACTGAGGAGAAGTGTTATGTCTGTAATGATAAAGGCCTATGGTATGCTGCTGAATGTTAGATTCTGACAAACAAACAATATGCATTCAGAAACCAATCACTTAATGAAATGTTTATTTCACCCTCAGGCTGCCGCTGGTATCCTGTGCTATGTTGGAGCCTATGTTTTCGTTACTTTTGATGACTACGATCACTTCTTTGAAGATGTGTACACCCTCATCCCAGCAGTGACCATTATAGCAGTTGGAGCCCTCCTTTTCATTATTGGGCTCATTGGATGCTGCGCTACAGTGAGAGAGAGCTACTGTGGTCTTACAACGGTTAGTTAATTAGTTTATAGGTTTAGCATGGTAGATTGGGATACTAAAGCATTTAAGTATTGATGAGTAATCAAAGATAAACTTTGAAACATAATGAAGAGAAGAGTGGGGCTTAAGGATGCATTAAAACAAGGCATAAACATGTAAAACCTGAGAATTGCTTTGTGTTATTTTACATAGAGTAAGTCGTTAGTGGTTGTATTCTGTATAACTTGAACATGCCAAAGGATATGACAACCCTCTTTTTACTTGTATGCATTAAGTGTCTGTTGTCTCACATTTTGAAATTCAATCCACAGTTTGTTGTCATTCTCCTGCTGGTTTTCTTGACGGAAGTGGCAGTGGTGGTTCTCGGATATGTTTACAGAGCAAAGGTGAGAAAGTAAAAAAACAAGACGGCACTTGTTTGTTTTTCTTGGCTTTATTTGAAGCTTAACCTGTAACCCCGTAAGTCTTCCAGCGAAATGGACTGCATTTATATCAAATAGTCCACCCATTAGGGAAGGAAAAACTGTGGAATTACAATCATGTTCGTATGTGAGATGTGTCATCAAATGTCTCACCCTTCTTAACCATTGGCAGGTTGAACATGAAGTTAATGTTTCTATCAAGAAAGTGTACGATGAGTACAATGGCACCAACAGCAATGCCCAGAGCCGTGCCATCGACTACATTCAGAGACAGGTGAGTCGGATATAATGATACTATTGTTTAATTATTTTAGTCTTATCCTGGGTAAGCAAGTATTTGACAGTAATTTTTCCATTGTTTGCATTTTTACAGCTTCAGTGTTGTGGCATCCACAATTACTCAGACTGGCAGAATACACAGTGGTATAAAGAATCCAAAAACAACAGCGTACCCATCAGCTGTTGCAAAAATAACGTTGTAAGCTGCACGGGGTCCCTCACTCGCCATGCAGATCTCTACCAAGAAGTAAAACAACCTTTACATGTGTCACATTCTTTTTATACCAAACACTTCTTACTTTAAAGAGGAGTCTGTTGCTATAGTTTTGTATATTTGAACTTATTCTGTGTGTGTAGGGATGTGAAGCTCTGGTTGTGAAGAAGATGGAGGAGATCATGATGTATGTCATCTGGACTGCTCTGACATTTGCTACCATCCAGGTATGTCCCTTTTTATACGACTTCGCCAGCTCTCTGTAGAATCTGTATTTTTATTTACTGGACCTTTGCCATATTGATTGAAATGTATTGGTTCTTGACTAACAGGCGCTGCGTTTTCAGTAGTGAAAACATTTGACTAGCAGTCAGCAGCATTATCATTGTGTTTTAAAACAAAGGTACTTTCAGTATGATTTAAAAATAAATAAAACATTAACAATTCTACTTGCCTCAAGATTGTCTGAATAATATAAGGCTACAGCCAGCCGCCTAAAATTAGCTTAGCATAAAGCTTATGTCTTTCTAGTTTTTTTTGTCCATACTAAGCTAACAGTCTCCTGACTCCATCTACATATTTACCATTCAACCATGAGTGGAATTGGTCTATCTCTCAGCAGGAAAGCAAGGAGTTTATTTCCCAAAATGTTTGACAGTTTGTTATTCCACTCTTGAGTAACACAACTACGGTGAGACTCCACGAGCCCCTAATATTTCTGAAGCGTTGTAACTGATCAGTAAAAAAGAAGATTTGTAAACCCCTACTAAGTTGTCTTTCTCTTACTTCTAGATGCTGGGGATGTTGTGTGCCTGTGTCGTGCTGTGCCGCAGAAGCAGAGATCCTGCGTATGAGCTTCTTATTACTGGGGGCATCTATGCATGAAGGAAAACACATTTCTCTCCATAACAATCACTTTCAGAATAAACATGTGTCTTTGGTGACAGCATACAAACAATCTATTACAAAACTAACCCTAATCACCAACCACACTTAAGTTACATATTTGACCTGTTTTTCCCAAAAAGGCTATAGACCAAATTCTTTAATAGTCACTGTAAATGAGATGTAGAAAGCATTCTGTTGCTCTGAGGATGGCACAAGGGCATGACACCTTTTTATTGTATACAATGTATGGAGTACAAATGTGGACAGGGTCATTTCCTCATGTTAGTTTGCACTATGTGTATGGCTTACAATATTTTATATTTCAACCTATCCTGTACTTCAATGACATTTGAATTAAATACGCTTACCTCCATGATTACTATTGCTACTACTGTTCTACGTCTACTACAACTATTATAGCTCAGTTTAGTTGAAACCTCAACTTTTACCAGCAGTTTACTGTCAAGACAAAATCACCTCAACAGCCCAAGTCAGTCGCAAATGTGTGCATGTAGCTTAATGGCTTTTTCCCCATCAACATTTGGGATTTTTAGTAATGTCTTCTAAACTCAAGTTGAACTTTGTCCTACAGCTGTTGTTTTTTTTCCTTCTCCACAGTCCACTGAAGGTAGTTTTAGAATTTTGATTTTCTGATCTGTAACAATAGCGAGACTCAAGACTGTAAATAAAATGTTGGAAAAGTTTGAAATGTAGATGTGCATTTACTGATTTAATGTTTGGATTTCTAAGACATATATTTACAAAGGTCTGAAATTGCTACACCAAATAGTTTAATTATTTCTGTCAAGACAAAGCTCACATTCACTGGCTGCTGTCATTGGAAGAACTCAACTTGGTCCCAGAGAAGAGAGGTCAAAGTTCAGGGGTTTCCCATGAAGAGGTTCCCTTATTTATTGAGGTTTTGGTCAGAGTTAAATCTGTTATGTTGTAACTATATGTCTTCAAAAATGAGGTTCGAGGTTACAAGGTGCTCAAAATATAACGCATGCATATTATACTGTATATAAGCTTAAATCACTAAATGAAGTTTTATCTCCTTTCGGAACATCTGGCTACCACCAAAAAAACATTGTTGACCTTCATATTGAATAGACTCGTCTTTGTTTTTATTGATAGACACTGTTTGAAATGTATCAGCCTTACCAGAGTAACCAGATACGTTTAAAACCAAATAGAGCTGATAACTCAGCCACCTGATCTAACAATAGTGCCTGGTTACATTCAGCTGTTTTATATCGATGGTTTTGGTCTAATGCTTTTCTAATCCAAATTAAATTTATCTTAAAAAATAAAGCAATAATGCAAAATAGTTCTTATTCAGCTCAGGCTAAAATCAATGTTAACCATGTGTAAAAAATAAATGTGTCTTTCATATTAATAAATACAAAGGAAATCCCATTTTCAAACAATTATTTTCTTTAACATTTAGAATAGAAAAAATAACTACACACAGGAAATCTATACATGCCAACAAGACAAATCTAACATTCTGCTTAATATTTAGGACTGACGAGAATACCACAGTATATTAATAAACAAGTGCAGTGACCTTGTGCAATAGATCACTTCATCTCCAGCTGTCCTTGGTATGACGGGCTCTCAACAGACCAGTAAGGGCAAAGTAATATGAATATGTGCCATAGCAATAAATAATTCATCTTTCAACACTGTCTCATGCTACTTTGTGACATTTCCTTTCTGTAAGATTGTTATGCAACAGCTCAAATGATCTAAAGGCATAGGGTTCATGAGAAAAACAAAACTAGCACTGTCGAAACGGCTACAGTCAGCTGTTCATTCGCTTGCTATCAGGGTCACTCTCTGCCACAGTGCATTTTTTGATTTTTCCACGGGTGCTATAGGTGGACATTTAAAAAAATCCTACTCATATAGGCTTTAATTTGAAAACCCTGACTGGCAAGTAAAAATAAAAAAAATATTTTGCCAGGTGAACATTTTTTTTCTTCTTAAATTAACTTTTGTTAATACTGATTCTGACCACAATAGGCTGAAGTGCACCACTCATAATTCAAAGCATCTGATTTGAGAAGATTAAAGTACATGTCCAGCCAAGAAACACATGATGGTACTTAACTTGCTAAAACACAATATATTCAACATGTATTTTGACTCTCCAAAAACGAATTATGCTGACATCTGTTTCCCAGAATAACTTTTTTTTGCAACATAGAAGGATTACCCTTCCAATGAAAAATATTTCCTAGTTCTTAAGTCATAAACACAGGGGAGAAAGGTTTTTGAGATAAAACTTAGCAAATTAATCGTCATTTGCTTTTGCTCACTAGCCTCTCAGGGCTTCCGCATTTAAATGATGCTTAAAAAACAAACAAGAACAACAGATAAGATCAAACTATAACGTTATTTGAAAAGACAAGGCCTTTACAATATATAACATGAGGACATTTAAAAGTCTAAAAATCCTCCATTAAGCTTCAGGTTAACTTATTCTTTAGCAAGATACGTGCCTGGGACCAATCCAGTAACTTCATTCCTTTTCACTGTCCACCAGCCATCTTCACCTTGATCCATGACCACCACCACGTCGCCGACAGACACAGAGAGCTCATCGTCCCCCTGAACAAACACACACACATTCAATCAAAAAGATATCCCTTAAATTAAACAAGAATCATTCCATTTGAATGTGTCTCATGTAGAAGCTGACCTGCGCCTCATAGTCGTACACGACCTTGAACCCCTCACTGCTCGGCTGGGGCACCTGACTTCCAGGAATGGAGGCGTATACTCCATCAGATGTTTCTGCTAAGGAGTTTAACAAGATTTAAGACCTAATCAGCACCGGTTTACTTACTGTGAATAGCAACTTTATACTCAAACCAGTGAATAAACTGATAATATGAAGTTAAATCAGACCATTGGCAAGCCGAACATATTGCTTATTGTTGGTGGTGGGGCAAAGCTGTGGTTCCCAATCTCTTTATGGTCCAATGTACCCCCAAAGCCTTAAACTCAAGTACTCTTTTCTAGCCTTTAATGACCTTGATCCTCCCTACATCAGTTATGTTCTTTCTTTTTCTTTTCTTTCAGCCAGATCACTGTACTTCTTTAAAATGCTCCTTATGAGTCCCTGAAATTTGTCCTGGTGAGAGTGCCTTCTGTTTTTATGCATACAAACTGAGACTTACTGCCTCTAGAATGTAGTACAGAAAGCTCTCTCTGTATTATTTTCAATTGGAAATTAAATACATTTTTTATCTAGATTTGAATTTGAAATAGCCGTGATTTTAAAGATGTAATCCTTGTTTTTAATGTTATTTTATTATTGTGTGATAAAAACAATAGTGTTTTTGTGTTCTATGGAAAGCTATTTGGTGTGCATATGGACCCTGGTTGTGAGTCACTGGTGTGAAGAAAAAAACGTATAACCAAATCATGAAACTTATAAATGTTCCACACCCTGTGTTGCCATGTTCTTGCGCCTTACACAATCTGTCATTTTGAAATGTCAGTGTTATTGGAATGACTTTATACTTTACCAGTAGGTTCATTGATGTTCAGTTTGGAGCCACTGGAACAGTTTGACTGCAGAAGATTTGAAAACCTACAAATTGGGGAAAGTATTCGGTAAGAAATATAGACAAATTATTTAGAAACAACCATCTTCATTATCTATCATCAACATTCATTTGGAGTTATTTCTGACCTTTTTATCACTCCTACGAATCCAACAGTGCCGTTACTGTCTCCTGTATCTTCCCTCTTGTAGTAATTTTGGTATTCAATAGGTGCTGTGAAAGAAAAATTAAAATTCAGTAAATTCCTAAAATACTAATGCTTCAGCGGCATTGCCCTTTTACACACAGTCCATCACCTGTTTCCAAACGTTTGAACATTCTGTTGTACGTTTAAGCAGCAACTGAGAGATAATATTAAAATGTCCAACATGGAATATATTCAAATCCAAATCAGGGAAGCTGCCAGGGCGTGATCCTACCTGAGGCGGTCGAGCCGGTGCGCTTCATCTCCACAAAGCCGCTGTTGTCTGCTATGATGTCACAATTTTCCAGTGATGTCCTCACATTATCGTAGCACTGAAAGAGCAGTTTGTCTAGAGTTAATTTAAATACACAGTACAGAATATTGGAAGTTTACTGAAAGTCTATCCTATTTAGACGTGCGGGAACAGCTGCACACACCTCATCATCTTTCACACACTGCATTGATAACTGGTTACAGTGCACCCACAGAACGTTCCTCAGTACACTGATGCGGTCTTCTTCCTGCTGCTGAAACACCTGCAAAAGAGTGCCATTGGGAAAATAATAAATCATCTATAAAGAATTGCAGCACAGTACATTTACAACACACTGCTGTATGAATATATTGATGCAACTGGTAACTTCCTGTACAACAAAAGCCTCCAGCAACCTTAGCCACTGTGTGATCTGTCAACTTAAAGGTTCCTGGCTTTCATTTAAATGCGTTTGAATGCTTCATAGTTGAAAGGTATTAGTTTATGTATTGTTTTAAATGTATTTCCTTTTGTTTACTGATTTCACGTGTGCATGCGCTTCCTACAATTGACCTATTTTAATGATTGTTGATGTTATCACACAGGAAGACTTTGTTCCCCGGGAAACAATTTTGTAGAATGGTGACTCACTTTCTAGTTTGCTTATAGGAAGTATTCCTGCACATCCTCATTGACAAAACAAGCCTGGGGTATTAGCAATCTTTGTATAAGTCCGTACATTTTCAAATGCACCAAGCTTTGTACATAACGTGATAGGGGAAATTCAGATTGTGGTACCAACCTCACATGTGTTGATGTGTGTTGTATCCCACTCCAGTCGAGTCTTGTCAAGCTGTTCAATGTTTGACATGTACTGTTTCTCTTAAGACAAGAACATATTTAATTGTTAAAAATACAAGAAGAAAAAAAAGGATCTCTCCAAAGATATATAGATCATGCTTTAATCAACTCTCAGGTTTAGTTTATAAAGTGCACCCAAGTGTATCTTTGGAATCCTAAAATAAACGGGAAGTTAATGCAATCACACATTTTATAAATATGTTTCTGGTAAACCATAGCGGTTTCCTTGGACAGCATCTTAACATATCAACGTTTTGACATGTCAACTTACCAGCCTCCTCTGCAGCTTCCCTGTACTGTTTAGACTTGTTGTTCATCTGAAAAATAAAGCGAATACAAAATGACGCATTGTCTTTATATGTGTAAACATGTAGTTTTCCCTATAAAAGGGAACATAGTTAATTGCATCAGGGCTTTGATAGACACTCACAGCTTATAAATTACTATATTTAATAATGGAGTCATAGGCAAAGATAATTTTCCAATCTATCAACGTTTAAAATAACTGTAGATAACAGCAGCTTGAGAAAATAGGTATCTGGTTTCCAACAACAGCAAGTCATTTTGGATATTCATCCTTTTTTTATTGTAGAAAATAAAATACATTTACATTCAATGTTGCCATTTCTTAATATTCTTTGTAAATGAGATGCTGCGTAAACTCTCATGGGGCACTGACGATGAAAAGAAAAAGCATACACATACTGTTGTGTTATATATACAATATGATTACTACATTTTCTTATTTCTATTTCCCTGAACATTAAATAATCGACAGACTTGAATAGTTACATTTGTTGAGTAGTTCAAATTGAAGAGCCTGCTCGTGTGAAAAAGGCAAACACTGAGAGGTTCCTTTTGTTACTTGACTTTCAATGAAGAATAATGTATTAATGAAGGTAGTCTGTTTAGAGTACCACTGTGTTCACTTTAATTCTTAGTTTAAGAAGTGTATTTGTGTATTACTAGACAACTCACTCAAGTATTAAACATCGTGTGTCAAGTAGTTGTAATTTTGAATTCATCTAGACGGCTTTAATCTGAGAAATTCTACATTTTGTGGAAACAGTCAGTATTACATATCTTAAAACATGTCTAGGATCAATAAAGATATACTGGTGTGATATATTTTTAAAGATAGGCAACAGCACCAATGCTTTCATAAAGTCAAGTCTATATTTTCATGACTTAAGTAAAAATCAGTGCACTGGACATTTTATGACAGATTTACCTTCTCGATCTGTTTGGGAGTGGCTGTGGGAGTGTTGCCCAACTTCTCAGCTGTAAGCTGTGCCTCATCTGCTTCCTTGCATCGCTGCTCATAGGACCTTTTAGACTAGGGGAAACAGAACAGAAACCATAAAAACATTAACGCTTGGTTCTTTGAAGCATTGACAGGAAAAGGAGGGGCTAGGGGGGGTAAGTACAGTCAAGAAAATGAGTGCATCAAAAAAGACTTCACTTCTTTCTTTTGAGTAGGGAGAAGTGTAAGCTCATGTGCTTATCACACCAATGTGTTGTGACTGGCTTCCAGCTATTATCTTGCAAAACCATAATCTTCTAAAACAGTACTGAGGTATTTTTAGAATACCTTGTACATACAGTACAGTATCATCTTAAATCTCTGCAGAACTGTAGCCACACGTCATACAGATCATCACGATAATATAAATTGACCGTACATCTATTGCTTTCTTGTAGATGGAGACTTTTGTCTTCTGGTCCTTCTCCATGATGACTTCATACTAAAAATTGAAAAACATAATGTTACCACCAATACAGCATTATCATCATCAGAAACCACACTGAAAGAAGCAACTGTTTTTAGACTTCCTCTGCATGCAAAAGAGAAAAAAAGGCTTCATGTGGGTACCTTTTTCCGGTGTTCTTTCTGTCTTTCTCTGAACTGCTCCATTCTCTTCACCTCGTCCTTTAGTAAACCAGAAAGCTGAATGTGCAAGTTTCCTACATTTTCCATTTCTGAAAAACACGGAAGATAAAAGTTGAAATACAGACATATACTGTATAAGGCGGAAATAAAAAAATAAAAAAGGAAATCTATTTTGTTCTTACGTGTTTTCATTTCATCAAAAGATTTTCTCAAAGTGCTGTGAAAACAAAATGAGGCAGAATAAAAGTGAATGCATTTTTTCATGAAATATTTTCTGCACTGTGTAGTTACGAAATGTAGACTTAGACATACTGATGAATATAGCAGTGCTTAAATGCACACACACCTACCAGATCTCATATAAACCCCCAGCTTTGCGTGCAATTGTGCATAGTTCCTTGCCATATTTCTCCTCTGCTGATGCCCTACATGGAAAAAACCATATTAGAGCTGAACCACATTTTAGTGATGTCTATTTAATGATTCATCAAGTACAATACATCAGAAATGCAAAACACACCTCATTTTTAAGAGCTCCTCCATGTCTTTGCATGTCCGTCGACCATCATTTAGTCTCTGACTTATCGTCTCATACCCAATATTACTGATGAAGTCCACTCCCTGGAACCATAGAAACCATAATGCTCTTTCAGTGATACAGGAACATGGGGAAAACCACACATCATGTAAGATTTGGGAATAAAGGTTAAAATTATGTTAATAAAAACATGTTTTGTGTAAGATGTAAGTTTCTTCATTGCTCATTAAAAGAATGAAATCATCAAGTCTGGGCAATACTTGATGATTAAAAGCTTCTCAACCGCAAGTTTGACTATAATGATGTTTGAGATGTTCAACCTTTAGGTATTGAGGTGGTATACCAAAACAAAATTGAACAGTAACACACTGTTGCTGGGGTTTGAATGAAGAGCCGCACAGAAGGAGAAGTAACCAAAACGACTCCAGTATTCATCTACAATGCTGAACAAATGTGAAAGTTCTTATTGACATGTATATTGTCGTGGGGTCACATTGGATATGAGACTACTGATAGCAGCATTGGAATAAAAAAAAAAAGGAAAGCACAAACTTTACAATGTAAACTGAATACTTTGTTCCAGACAGGCCAGTACAGTACCTGATGATCTGCATATTGATATGGTTGGAAATGAATATACTGTGTAAGTTACATGCACGCTTTGAATTCTGGTCTGTTGCATTGTTGCACTCTGTGCGGTTCTGAAAAGGCAGTTAGAGGCTAATAAGGAAGAATAAGAGTAACAGGAAACCTTCAATAATTATACAGCAGGCAGGGTTACCACCATAACACTATTTTAAAAGGTTGTTCTGAGAAAGAGCTGTTTGGTTTGTGGGACACACCTGGGTTCTAAATACACACTGTGTGACGGAGCGGGTCACAGAGTGACTGACTCCGCCACTGACAGCCGACACACGCACACACAGTCACACACACACACCAAACATTTCCTGCTCTCTTCCTAAAAAGGAACCATGCAATTTATTATTTATTGTGTGTTTGTTAATTTGTTAAATGATTATGTTAAGAGGTGGTTAACCTGTTTTATGTTTGGGTCGGATTTTTATGTTGAAATGTGGTTTGAAGTTTAATTGTTGTCACCTGTTGACGGTAAGCATGTGGGAGGGGCTATGAGCTCAAAAGGGACGGGGATTGGCCCTGGAAGGGATCACTCGGAAGAATGTTGCAATGAAGGCAACAGCTGGGACATGTTCAGGAGATGGTTGCAGAGAAGGCAACACCAGAGCATGTTTACTCTAATGAGTGATGGACGGCCTGTTTTGGATTTTTATTTTGTTGTTTAAATTGTGCTGGTTCCGTTTTTTTGTTTTGTTGCTGTTATTAAAGTTTTGGAGCTTAACCCGACCGACTAGGCCAGTGTTTGTTAACGGACAAATAGAGCCCCGTCACACACTGTATAACCCAGAGGTAAAAATAATTGTTTGGCTTATCAAGAATCCGCACATAAAGAAATAATAATACATGTTTTAATCAAGTAACAAATCAGTTGCAGTTCAGTTAGTTTCAACATTTTAAAAGTAAAGTAAGCAAAGTAGGTTATAAGTCACAAGACAGGACAGAGCGCTAACCAACTGTAGTCAACGATTGGCCTCAGATATGGTATAAGATTACAAGTGTATTGATCCTTAAACACTCTCTAGACTAAATGAAAAACCTTAACAGGGTAGACGTGGAAAATTACACAATATAACCTTGAAACTCCAGTGAACAAATCAAATACAACAACCCTAACTTCACAGCTTAGAAAGACTCATGGTCAACTTGAGCACTGAAGAGAAACATAAAGAAGTATGGAATAGTATCATCACACTGACTCACCCAGAAGGCATCTTTAAATTGTACTGTCATCTTGGCTTTGGTCAAAAAAAGTCCTGGTTGGAGAATCCACTTAACTCACTTTATAAAGCTTGGCAGTGTAACAGGCTGTTGCTCGATGGAAGTGAAACAGAATATGACACATGCAGGAAACCAGCATTCAACAGCAACACTTACTAACTCGCTCATTTGATTCAAATAAGGAAGAGTTGCAACACGTTAGCTTTAACCGCAACTGGACTGATACTTGTGTCAGTTCACTTTTGGCACCTCTGAAAGGAAAATTAATAATACACAGACACTATTCAACAAACCAATTGCATTAGTGTAATTGAAACAAACTCAATCGTGATGTCCTTAAAGAGTGGTTACAATCATATTATCAGTTAAACCTCCCTGCTATTCAGGAATATGTGCATTTATATTGGACAAAACAGGAATAGCTTACAATATAATACATTTCAATATAAAGGCCCTGCAACACATTATATGTTGTGAAGCTTCCGATGTTTAGATGTTCCTGAAACATTCTAGAGATGTGCAACTGGCCTCAGTGATGTATTATACTTGTGTTGCAATGTATGTTTTTCCTGTTATTTTGTCCACACAACTTAATAGAGCAATGTCGATGAGTAAGATCTACAATGGGGTAAATTCCATGACTAATATCAGTACCGGAAATAAACCACGTAACACCTTCATTTGAAAAAAACAAGAACATTACATTTAGTTATAGTTCATCGTGTGAGACATGCAGCTGTCTGCCATAGTCTGTCACTTCACTGTTCATGAATATTTCTTGATTTTTCAAAACTTCTGCTTCTGAGATCCTCCCATCTCCATCTTGATCCATTTCCTTGATGAGGTGTAGAGCCTGTCGATGGCAAGAAGACAAAATAAACTATATGTAATCCTACCAAGCAGTAGCAACAGGAACATTATTTGCCCATGTATTTAAATGTTGTTTAAATATTTAGCAATTATGCAATCAAAATCTGGGAACATATTTGAACAGTTGAGTGTTACCTCTTCTCTTGCTGAGCCGTAGCTGTTAGGCGCAACCCAGCGGAGCTGCTCGTCTCGATTCAACTTGCCATCCTTATCTTGATCATAGAGGTCTTTAAACCGCACTGTTTCTTCTATCTCCCACTGTGAAGGGGAATCCTCTGATGAAAACAAATGAAGTGTTTATATTGCACTAGGATTATGAATGGGCATAGCAAAGGAAACAACAAATACATCTCTGTAGTCTTACCATCACCTCGAACATCTCCAATAAATTCACTCAGACTGATAAGTCCATCTTTATCTGTGTCATATTCACTCAACACATCTTCAATGGCAAAATCCTATTAGGAAATAATACATTATTAAAGTGTAACAGGAGAAATGAACAGAGCTCTTGTAATGGGTGGGAAAATGCATTAACATATCAGGTGATGCAGGTAAACTCATTTTACAGCCATGTGATCCACTTCAGAGGGATGGGTGAAGGCAAGAAACTCTGTCACATTAAGCCCGGGTGTGCCGTCCACATCAGCAAAGTCAAAGCGGCTCCTCTCCTTCAAGTGGAGCTAATGGGGATATGTGCATATGTTTAAGTAGTATGGATAAACCTGATTGTGGTTTAATGTGATTATTAACAGGACAATAAAACTACACCTACATGTCTGAGAGACTCTTGCTCTGGGTCCTGCAGAACATCGCTGTCATCAAAACTGATGAGCTGGCCATGAGCAACAGTGTTGTATTCCTCCCATGTTACAACACCATCTTTGTCAGTATCAAACTCAGGGAACCGCTCCTTTGCATCTTCTAGAGCATACTTTCTATAGACGTGCTGAATCCATAGCGTTATCTCCTCTGGTGATAAAAACACAAAATATTTAACATGACCTTTCACTTCCTCTTCTTATCTTTGCTTGCTTTTCAAAGGTTCAGAGAAATAAATGTACCTGGATTTAGCACATTGTCAGCATTTGTATCAATCCGCTTCACAATTTCCATCATCTTTTTCCTCTGTTCCGCTGGGCTAAGTTTCAGTATCTCCTCAGTGTCCTAGAAGTGTACGAAGTATATTGAGAGGAAAGTGAGCAGTTTCTGAATGAAGATTAGAAAATATCTCAAGATTGTAATAAAAATAAGTGGCAAATATTTAGAAACCTCTCCCAGCAGGACGTTCATGTCATGTTCAGGGTTGTGCTGCTGGCCAACATAATGATCTTCGTGGAGATGTTTAAGAGAGCTTTGTCCAAATCCAAACTGAAGTACCAGCAGTCCCAGCAATGCAAAGGATGTCATCTATTGAAAGGGTTATCACAATTATAAATATAAAACAAAGGGGTGAATATATTGAAAACACAACAAAGTGCTATTAATTAGCTTCCAAGTATAGTTTTCTTGTTAAAATGATTCATTAACAGGGAAACTAAGAGCTATGCTATGCTTGCTATAGTGCAATTGTGCGACCTTGCGGTCAGCTGGTGAAAGTTCACACAAACAAAGTAAACTTTGTGTGTGAGCCTCTTGTTCAGATGAAACCTGTTTAATCTAGCAGAAACAAGTCCGTATTCAGTGAGGAAATAGGGGGGCAAACCGGCCTTAAGGCTGTTAGAACTACTAGTTCTTGTCTACAGTAGCCCAGTTTTAAACATCGTTGTTCATTCTTAATGTGTACGAGAGAGAATGAGAGAAGAGATATACAGGGACAACCAGAGACAACCAGAGACGAAATTAGCTGTGTTAACCAAACATATATACACAAGGCACACAAGCCAGTTAAATAGTAACTGCGACAGAGCTGAACAATAATGTTGGAGATGTTGTCATTACCGTGAAAAGTCCAAATAGCTATCATCACACCAGTGTTATTTACAGGAGGATACGGCTACTTCCGGTCACATATTTCAAAATAAAGTTTTATATTCGGCCCATGTCTAACTGTTTTGGAAGCAATTCGTGTAAACAAAGATATTAGCTGAGTGTTGGGTGAGTTTCCCAAAAACAAATATTTACCCGCAAACTGAGACATTTATAAAGTTACTAGATGGATGTGATTTTCCTTAGCATCTTGTTCTCTAGTCTAAAATATGTTTTCAGTCAGTAATCCACCTCCCCAAAAGTGGTATTGGTAATTGATTTAACCAGTGCTGGAATTGGGCCGGTACTCACCGGTACGCAGTACCGGCACTTCTGGTTCTGACCCATGGAGTACCGGCACTTCTTGCTCAGTACCGGCATGCTGGCGGTACTCCGGTACTCATGCACCGTGCCAGTACTCAACACTCTCCCGCCGTTCTTATTATACATCCATATATATATATATACAGCCGCCCGGTACTCAGTAGATGCGTCATGAGGTGCCGAACGGACATTCTCATCGCTCTAACCGCTGGAGTTTCACAGCGGCTGTCAGCTGTTTACTCCTGTCATTCAAACAGAACGTGCTGGAGAGGGGGCGGGGCTTATCTTCTCCATGTAAATACTGTGGTGGAAACGACTATGTCAAAATTAACCTATTTGACCGTGATTTAATAGTAATACACGTTTCAAAATAATAATAATAATAATAATAATGGAGAAGTAACAACATACTGAAAACTGTTAGTAAAACCATGTTTTAATGCTTTACAATTTTCATACCTAGATGCACGTGTGTTGTGTTTATGCAGTGCAACTCCCACCCAGTGGGTGGCTATGTAGAGTGATAGAACAGAGCAGGCACGCCCCCGAGAGAAGGAAAGCAAGTCACGTCACAAATTAGCATTTCTAAAATGTTAGCGTGGATTAATAAAAGTGCAAAAAGACAGCGGTTGTCGCCGGAAGAAACTTCAAATACAGAGAATGCTGTGCCTGTGTTGGAAATTGTGTCTGATGGGGAGCTTTCTTTGGTTGATCCTCCTGCTCCAAGTTCTAGTGCATTAGCATTAGCACTAGCTCCGCCGCCTCCTCCAGAGCCTCTAACTTTAGCTGCTGCTGGCGCAACTGCCACCACCAACACCGGGCAAAGCGATGCACCTGACTGCTGGACAACGGACCAGGTGCAATATTTTTGCAAGACCAATGCATGGCTCCTTCTTAAAGATAAGAAGCTAGGATGTCGGATATGCAGAGATGTCAAATCTTTGGGAATACACACTGGACAAGGACTGAAACTGTCAACTGAATGGGGTGAGTGTGCAGTGTCTCATTTCGGTGTTGACAAGGGCAAACAACAAGCTAGCCTGAGAAAAAAAATCAAAGAAGATAAAGAATCACAAGCCCATGTAAAAGCTGCTGACATCCTTACATCTGCTTCACGTGAAACTATTCAACATCAAGTGCAGTCTATGCATAAATCTGAATTAGACACCACTATCAGAGTTTTTCGAACGGCATATACAATTGGCAAACATAGCCGGCCATTCACAGACATGCCAATTGATTTGAATGTACAGAAACTGAATGGGCTGAACGTGGGCAGGGTTTTGCACTCCAATAAAACCTGTGGCGAAATCATCGACCACATAGCTCATGAGCTGAAGAAAAAAATGGCAAAAGACATTACAGAAAACCAAAGAAAACTCTGTGTTTTGGTCGATGAATCTACCACTATTAGTGGTAAAACGGTGCTTGTTGTGTGTCTACGCTCAGCATTAGCTGATGCTGAGCCCGAAACGTTTTTTTGGGAGCTGATCGAGTTGGATGGAACAACGGCTGATGACATCACAAAGGCGTTAATGGAGTGTCTTGGAAGAGATTTTAACGAGGACTTTTTAGGTCAGTGTTTCGTTTCTTTTGCATGTGATGGGGCTTCAGTCATGCTAGGGAAGAGAACAGGCGTTGCTACCCAGTTGTGTAGTAAATTCCCAAGCCTGTTTGTGTGGCACTGCTCCAATCATCGTCTAGAGCTGGCAGTTGGGGATGTGGTCAAGGAGGTCTCAGGGCTCAATCATTTCCAGATCTTTTTTGACAAACTCTATTCCTTGTTCCATGCCTCCCCCAAAAATCAGAGGCAGTTAGCGCAGTGTGCGCGAGCAGTCGGACAGCGTCTCATGGTGATAGGGTGTGTTTTGTCCATCCGCTGGGTGGCTTCAAGTGAAAGGAGCGTCAGAGCAGTCTGGGAAAACTACCGAGTGCTTCATGATCACTTCACAA